TGAAGAAAAATTTAATTTTCGAACTCAATTAACGCGATTTGGTGTATACTTTTTGTCAAAATTTAAATTTTAAATTTTTGGCTTTATTATTTCTGTACAGTTGAAAAGAAAACTTGTGAACATTTTACCGACGGTTCTGAATTCCTGACAATATCAGAAAACTAGGACTGAATCGAGGCTGGATTTGGAGTTTTCAAAATTGTATGTCATTTGACCGGTCTATGTCTTAAGCTGAATTTATACACTCGAAACGCAACGGTACGTGCGGTACACTGCTTTTTGCTTGCCGATATATAGTTTTTGTTGTGCCGCAACTCACCGCAACTCACCGCAAAGTCATCGTATTTCAAGTTAAAATGGATTTGAACTTTATCGCTATCTTCATCATAGCCTCAAGTCAAGTGTACTCTTCGAAAAACATCCACTTCTGAAAATTAACAATAATCATCACGTAGATCAATTTGAATCTTCAAAGAATTAATAATTCGTCAGCCGATGGCATGGTAACGAATAAATGCATCTAGGATCATGTTATGCTGGGGTTTAGAAACGTGACTGCTCAGGCTCTGTGTAGGCTTATAGTGAATATATATTTTAATGGTAAAACATTAGTGTGATTGATACGAAGTGTTACGTGCTCAAAAAGAGATAACTTTATTTTCGTTCCCTTTGACATGTGTCCCAAACCATAGCCTGTGACAACTTTAAAAATAGGACCAAGGAAGGGAGCAAATATATCAATATGTGGCATTGAGGCAGTGGTGGATCCAGGGGGGGGGGGGGCGGGGCCCGCCCCCCCCCCCCGGCAAAAAAAAAAGAAGGAAAAAAAAAAGGAAATAAAAGGCGAAAGATATCAAAGGTATCAAAATATGCTCATCTGACCTTAGTTAAATGCCTAAAACCCCTTAACTTCCGTGGGCTCTGCTCCCTGGACCACACCTAGGGCCCTAAGGCGAATGGCTGGATGATAATCTGACGGTAATTTAATGCTTAAAACCCCTGAGCTTCTGGGGTCTCGGCCCCCTGGACCTCGCGCCAATTAGTGTCCTGCCAGTGTCATAAGGTATCAAAATATGTGCATCTGACCGCAATTAACTGCCTAAAACCCCTGATTTCCGGGGCTCCACCCCCTGGACCCCACGCCAATTCGTGACCTGTCAGTGTCACAAATAAGGTATAAAATTATGCTCATCTGACGATAAATTGATGTATAAACCTCTAAGCTTCTAAGGGCTCCGCCCTCTGGACCAAACACCAATAAGTGTCCTGCCAGTGGCAAAAATAAGGTATCATAATATGCTCATCTGAAAGTAATTTATTGCCAAGAACCCCTGAATTCCGGGGGGCGTCACCCATTCGACCCCACCAGGGGCCCTAAGGCGGGCCCCTGCGTGCTTGTCTGACCGTGATCTATTGCCTAACACCCCTGAGCCTCCGGGGGCTCCGCCTCCTGGACCCTACGCCAATTCGTGACCTGCCAGTGTCACAAATAAGGTATAAAAATATGCTCATCTGACCGTAATTTATTGCCCAAACCCCTGATTTCCGGGGGCTCCACCCCTGGACCCCACGCCAATTTGTGACCTGTCTGTGTCACAAATAAGGTATCATAATATGCTCATCTGACAGTAATTTATTGCCAAGAACTCCTGACGATAATTTAATGTATTAAACCCCCGAGCTTCTGGGGCTTCGCCCCTGGACCCCACGCCAATTCGAGACCTGTCAGTTACACAAATAAGGTATAAAATATGCTTATCTGACGATAATTTAATGTATAAAACCTCTAAGCTTCTTGGGGCTCCGCCCCCTGGACCCCACCCCAATTCGTGACCTGCCAGTGTCACAAATAAGGTATAAAAATATGCTCATCTGACCGTTATTTATTGCCCAAAACCCCTGGGCTTCCGGGGGCTCCGCCCCCCGGAAGCCCAGTCAATTCGTGATTGCCAGTGTCACAAATAAGGTATAAAATTATGCTCATCTGACGATAATTTGATGTATAAAACCCCTGAGCTTCTGAGGGCTCCGCCCTCTGGGAAAAAAACCCGTGTAAAAACCCGTTAATTTTACCTTTTTTTCACTGAGCGAAATATTAACCGGCAGGATTTTCAAATTTCAGCACACTAAATTTCAAATTTGGGCCCCCAACCCTAAGAAATCCTGGATCCGCGCCTGCATTGTGGTTCATTTAACAAGACACGGTGCTATACTGACCTATACGGATCACTACACTTATTTACAGTGAACTTTATTCTGCCTGTATACACTTGGTCTTATAGATAACCTATAGTATCTTGATCTTTATTTGTTTAATTGACCATTATATACATAGCACTCATCTGCCGGCATATACGTAAAGCACTTCAAACAGGTCTACACAGAACATTATATATTTACTGCACGAAAGGACGTTCTTTGAATTTGTTCTGCATTGGATTGGGCAACATAATCAGCATCTATAGCTAGCTTCGTCATCATAATTATATTATGGTGCTTGATAGGTGAAATATATGAACTTTCTTTAGCATCAGAATAATTTGTTTGCCGTTCAGCATCAACTATATAACGACATGTTTCAGAGCAAGCTTGTGACAATTTGTATAGGAATCGCACTTGGCATTTGTTTTGCGATCTCTACCAGTTATGTCTTCAAACAGAACATTTCGATCTTCAAGTTCAACATCCCGCCAGATCTGCCGGATTGCGAACGCTTACTGTTTGTCTTCCGGTGCCTTGCTTTCTCTGCCTTGCCCCTCCTGGGTGCCGTTTTCAACGTTCTCCGCTTTCGAGGCACGAACTTGGAAACCCTGGGAGCCGACCCCATAGCACCTGTGGCTCATTCTCTCAGGGGCTTCAAGACTTCCGAGAGGATTCTGCAGAACACTCTCGAGCAGTCTGCTCTGCATGTATTCGCAGTCTTGGCTCTTGCTTCGTGCGTTGATGTGGACCAGCTCTATATCATCCCGTGCCTGGTCCTGCTATTCAACATTGGACGCCTTTCATTCGCTGTTGGATACCACTACAATCCTCTCTACCGTTCATTTGGATTCGCTGTTACCTTCCTTCCAACCATGGCTGGATTCGCCTATGGTCTCTTCACCATTCTATCCCGTGGACTCACCATCTAATTGATCTTCACACATAACATGCTTAGATATTATAAAACCAATAGTTATGGAAAGTTAGTACATGTATTCGTGATTTGTTGATACTTGAAGGTAGAACATTGTGATTATTTTTTTTACTTCCCGGTGCCATTGATAGAATCACTCATAATGCAGTCGATATTGAAAAGAACCCTTAAACATAATAGTAGTTCGGGGGAAGTGCAAACATTACTTTCTCCAAGCATTTAAATCAAAACTGCTAAATGATTGGATCAACTTAAATTACAACGATGTGATATGAATTCTTTGAAGTAAATTTGTCATTTAAATTACTGACTTGGTATTTGCATGAATTTACGAAACTTTGGTTTATGTTCCGAATTTTCTCGTAAAAGTAATAATATTAACCGTTGTGTAGCGCAAATAGTAATAATAAAATCATTTATGAGATTTTTGAAGCATTTTCACTTAGGATTACTTAGGCATTTAATAAATTGTTTTTAGCACAAATTTCGAATCATTTTTTAATACATTATATTTTCAAATTAAAACCTTGCCTTTTCATTTATTCTCTGTGGTAATAAGTGTCTTATGAAAATAATGTTAACAAAGAAAGGTAGAAAATCAAGAGAGATGGCTTAATAGGAATACACAAATAATTAAATGAAGAGGACAAGAGAGAGAGAGAGAGAGAGAGAGAGAAAGAGAGAGAGAGAGACTATAGAGAGAGGAAGGGGAGACAAAATTCTGCCACTGCGATTCAGAGCCGATTTAACTTTTCTTCCACCAATAAAGTTTGAAATCTCTTGAAAGTTAGATTTTCTTATTGAAATGATTATTCAGATTCTCGATTATTTAGATTATCCATCTTTTAATCTTCATATCTCCCCAAATTTGTGACTTAAATGGATCGCAATTGAATCGTGTAAAGTCGAAAAGCACACCGCACACCAATAGGGACTTTTCGATTTGCACGACGAGAACGTGGACGTCACATGTGACTGTCAGTGCCAGGCGCGTACGCAGGGGGGGGGGGGGGGGGGGGGGGATTACCCCCCCTTGAGTTTTTTGTATGTGTATGTTTTGTGTATGTTTTCTGTCAAACCCCCCCTTTTTATTTATTTATTTATTTATTTTTTAAATAAAAAAAAAAAAAAAAAAAAAAATGCCAAGGCTGACCTAAAATAGGTGACCTTACCCCCCCCCCAACGGAACAAAATGTCAAATGTTCAAATTTCGAGACCCCCCCCCCCCAAAAAAAAAAAAAAATCCTCTTACCCCCCCCCCCCCCCCCCCCCCCCCCCCCCCGCTTATTCAGCGGCTGGCTGAGTCGTTGCGAAATTTTTGGCCCGATTCTAAACTCCCCCACCCCCCCCCCCCCCCCCCCCACCTTGAAAAAATCCTGCGTACGCCACTGGTCAGTGCCTTACAAGAAAGTCACATGTCCACGTCCACGCAAATCGAGAATTCCCTAATAATACACATGACCTGAACCTTTGATCCATGATACCTCGGTCACACCACCAAACCCCGCACCAAACTTCACACCGGTTCCGTGTGTGATAGTCTGGTATTGGTTTCCTTGGTGTGAGTGGGGCATAGTGCATTGCACCTCCGCTGTATGTATAATGGTCTTGTTTATTTTGGCATGGCCTATCGGACATGACATACTGTCGTCTGCAGCCAATGAAGTTTGAAGCGTTTTGTTCATCCGTACAGCATGCATATATAAAGCGGAATCGCAAATTTCTGCTTATAGTTCATTGTATGCACGATTACGGTTGCCTCCTGTAGACATTCAGGAATCAATATACAGTCCATATAGAGTGGAAGTTTGACATCATTCCCGGCATCATTCCTTCTTAATGTTACTTTGAACTAACACTCAACATGTTCAGTAGCAAGCAATGGACAATAATGATACAGGTATCAGCGAGCGCGTGTTTTGTGATCCCTGTTCGCTATGTCTTCAAAGAGAACTTTGCAAGCTTCCCGCCAGAGCTTTCTGATGGCGAACGTTTCAAATTTGTCTTTCGCTGTCTGGCCTTCTCCTCCCTGCCTCTCTTTGCCGCCGTGAGAAAAGTCGCCAGTGTCAGATTCTCTAACATGGAGACCCTTGGTGCGGATCCCATAGCTCCTGTAGCGCCCTCTCAGAAGGCTTTCAAGATTGCCGAGAGGGTTCTGCAGAACACCCTTGAACAGACCCTGCTGCATGTAATGACGATCTTGGCACTCGCTTCGAGCATCGAAGTGGACCAGCTCTATATCATTCCGTGCATGGTTCTGCTCTTTTGCATCGGTCGTTTTGTCTACTACGTTGGGTACAGCTACGATCCGTTGTACCGGGGTTTTGGATTCGGGACAACCTGGTTACCTACGTTGATTGGTTTTTCCTACGGTCTCTTCATCATAGCCTCACGTGCACTCTTCGGATAACATCCTCACCTGAAAATCATTGAAAATAATTACCACGTTGATCACTGGCAATTTGAAACTTTAAAGAATTAATAATCTTAATGCGCGGCTCGTCAGCCGATGCCATGGTAACGAATAAATGCATCAATAGGATCATGTAATGCTGAGGTATAGAAACATGACTGCTCATTAAGGCTCTGTGTAGGCTTATAGTGAATATATAATGTTAAAGCATTATTGTGATTGATACGAACTTTTACGAGCTCAAAAAAGATAACTGTGTCCCGAACCAAAATTGTGACAACTTTAAAAATAGAACTTGGAAGGGATCAAGCAAATTGTGGTTAATTCAACAAGACACGGTGCAGACCTATATATATATATATATACAGATCACTTCACTGAATAATTCACAATGAGCTTTATTCTGCTTGAATACACTTAATCTTAGATAGCCTATAGTATCTCGATCTTTTTTTTTGTTTAGTTGACCATTATATACATAGCACTCGTCCACCGGCATACCGGATACGTACACTTTGAACAGGTCTTTACACTGAACATTATATCTTTACTGCACGAAGGTAATTCACACGTTCTTTGAATTTATTCTGCATTGGATGAGGCAACATAATCAGCTTCTGCGTCATCATATGGCCCTTGATAGAAATTGATATATGAAATATATGAACTTTCTTTAGCATTACTGTAATTTTGTTTGCCGTCCAGCATCAACTAACGACATGTTTCAGAGCAAGTTCGTGACCATTTGTATAGAAATCGCAATTGGCATTTGTTTTGCGATCTCTACCAGTTATGTCTTCAAACAGAACATTTCGATCTTCAAGTTCAACATCCCGCCAGATCTGCCGGATTGCGAACGCTTACTGTTTGTCTTCCGGTGCCTTGCTTTCTCAGCCTTGCCCCTCATGTGTGCCGTTTTCAACGTTCTCCGCTTTCGAGGCAAGAACTTTGAAGCCCTGGGAGTCGACCCCATAGCCCCTGTGCCGCATTCTCTCAGGGGATTCAAGACTTCCAACAGGATTCTGCAGAACACTCTTGAGCAGTCTGCTCTGCATGTATTCGCAGTCTTGGCTCTTGCTTCGTGCGTTGATGTGGACCAGCTCTTTATCATCCCGTGCCTGGTCCTGCTATTCAACATTGGACGCCTTTCGTTCGCTGTTGGATACCACTACAATCCTCTCTACCGTTCATTTGGATTCGCCGTTACCTTCTTTCCAACCGTTGCTGGATTCGCCTATGGTCTCTTCACCATTGTATCCCGTGGACTCACCATCTAATTAATCATCACACATAGCATGCTTATATATATTATTAAACCAATCATTATAGAATGTTACTAAATGTATTTGTGATGTCTTGATACTTGAAGGTAGAACATTGTGATTTTTTTAATTTTTTACTTCCCGGTGCAATTGATAGAATCACTCATAATGCAGTCGATATTAAAAAATAAAAAACTTAAAACATAATAGTAGTTCGGGGAAGTGCAAAATGACTTAGTCCAAGCATTCAAATCGAACTGCTAAATGGTTCGATCAAATTAAATTACATCAATGTGATATCGAATTCTTCGAAGTATTTTATAAATAAGCTCATTGTACAGATTGACATTTCTCAATTTGTCATTTAAATTACTGAATTGATATTTGGGTTTACGAATCTTTGGTTAACGTTTCGAATTTTCCCGTAAAAGAAAAGTAATAATATTAATGGTAGTTGGGTAAGGCAAATATTAATAAAAACATCGTTATGGGATTTCTGAAGCATATATTAATAACTAAGGCATATTTTATATATTGTTTTTCAGCAAAACTTTCCAATTAATTTTAAATACGTTATATTTTCAAATTAAAAACTTACCTGTTCATTTACTCTCTGTGGTAATAAGTGTCTTATGAAAATAAATTTAACTAAGAAAGGTAGAAAATCAAGAGAGAGGACAAGAGAGAGAGAGAGAGAGAAGGGACAAGCAGTGATATATGACAAGAGAGAGAGAGAAAGAGAGATAACGGAAACGCAGAGAAAGGAAATAGAGAAATAGAGAGACGGTTAACAAAGGAAGACAAATATGGAGAGAAAGAAAGAAAGAGAGAGAGAGAGAGAGAGAGAGAGAGAGGGGGGGGGGGGGAGACAAAAGCCTGTCACTGCGATTCAGAGCGATCTAACTTTTCTTATTCTTACTTGTTATGACTATTCAGATTCTCGATTATTCATGTTTTAATCTTCACATCTCCCCGAATTTTTACCCACAATAGGCCATTTTCGTAATTTAACCACATTTAATGCATACGTCTTTGTGAAGTGCCTCAGGAAGGACAAACATGGGTTGACCTATCTAGCAACACTATGCAGTTTGCATTATGACTATTGAAATACCATTATTCTTATCAGGTGAATGAAATAATTTGTATTGAGGCACTTCACAAAGACTTATGCATTAAATTTTGTTATATTACGAAAATAGCCTATTGGATCGTTGAGGACCAGCCATAAACGAAATACTTCATGCATGGCTGATTATCAACGAAACGGACTTAAATCTTTTGCCAATTCTGTTTGTTGCTACGGCGGGCAGCCAGTGAAAACGAATTCGTTTTTTAAATCAAATTATGGAAATGCAAACATTACTTTAAACGAACAGAACTTTGTTATTCCTGGCTCATTTTTCCTGATTGAGGTGTCATATGAAAGGGCAGATGAAATTAAACTCTTCTAGTCAGAGCAAAAGCCGATTCGGCTTCAAGACGTAGACACTAGACCAGGCCTTCTCAACTGGCGGCGCTTTCGGTCAGTCGGAGTGGCGCGCGACTGTTTTAACAACATAAAAACATAAAGAAAGAAAATATAGGCCTATATTTAAGAATTAAATACTCAGCTAAATCAAGAAGTCGCAGTCGAATTTGAGCCCAAAATGCCTGCTTAACAAACAGGAAGAAAGGGGAATTTATCGTTTATTACCATTTCATACTACTCTAAACCTAAGCTCTGAACAACAATTAGCTTGCCAATCTCTGGAAACATCTTGTTTTTGCTTGTTTGATTTTCACTTTTATTTATTTGACATTTCCCGTGTTTATAGCACAAAAAAATACTACATATAAATTTACCTACAGTGTAATTGAACCCGGGAATTGTACTAATTTTTTAACATCAATATGAAATCATGATTGATTATATTGTGGAATGAAATGATGTTAAAATATGCCCCATTTGGGCCTTTAGAAAGCCCTGAAATCCACCAACTTCAAGGGGCCCCGCCCCCTGCACCCCCATTGGGGTTTTGCCCCTGGAACCCACCCGTTTTCGGCTCGGTCAAACATACAGGGTGGCACTTCAACTACAAATTCTTTTTGTTTTGGCACTTCTAATAAACTAGTTGAGAAGGCCTGCACTAGACAATAGGGACTTTTAGATTCGCGTGGACTGATACGTGTGACGTCCATTCAAGGCAGTGCATTAAAACGACGTCGACCGCAGCAATCCCCATTGTCTTCGTACGAATCTAAAATTCCTAATTTCACTTCTAATCTGAGCCGATTTAGCTTTTCTTCCACCAATCCATTGGGATTTTGATTATATTATTCATAGGACCATTCGGATTCTCGACCATTTAGAGTTAACCATGCATGTTTGAATGTTCATATAAAATGCTATCGCAAATTCTTCCAAAATCGGACCGCGCTAGTCAGGGCGGATCCAGCCGGCGGCAAGAGAGAGAAGGGGGGGGGGGGGAGCCAAATTTTAGAAAATATTTAGCGGCGAATCAGCCAGCTGGGCTACAGACAATGTGGTATCAGCACAGTAACATCGGGTATTTTTATAGAGGCATTCCAAAATGACATTCTGTATTCATAATATACGCATAATACAACTGATCTTTATTATTTCTTAACGGTGACATAATGGCTTCTTCTCCCCCTGCAAACAAAAAAGAAAACAAACTTATTTAATAAAAGGATCATGCGACAAATAATCAATGTGATTCAAATTGATGCAAAGATTTTTTTGAATAAGCAATGCTTTTCTAATTCTACAATATTTAGCGGCGAATCAGCCAGCTGGGCTACAGACAATGTGGTATCAGCACAGTAACATCAGGTATTTTTATAGAGGCATTCCAAAATGACATTCTGTATTCATAATATAAGCATAATGCAACTGATCTTTATTATTTCTTAACGGTGACATAATGGCTTCTTATCCCCTGCAAACAAAAAAGAAAACAAACTTATTTAATAAAAGGATCATGCGACAAATAATCAATGTGATTCAAATTGATGCAAAGATTTTTTTGAATAAGCAATGCTTTTCACCAAAATCTTCTTTGTAAAAACGACTTTTAAAAATCTCAGCCAATTCTGCCACTGTGCTGTAAGATCACTTTCAGATTCGGCGGAGAAGTGTATTCTTTAAAGACCTTGACCGGAGCAGAGCATGATATAGACAAATTATATACCTACGGACTCGTGAATATTTACTGAATATGAAAATGCAAACTTCTCGAGATTCCACGGCCTCTGAAAGAAGTATTTAGCATCCGAACCCCAGGATTCACGGATTTGAGAGGGGCACCCCGGAGATTTAGTTTCGGCTGCGCTAGCCGGTGGCCGTTTCTACCCGTTTCTGATGACGTCATATCGTGTAGGTTATTTGGCCACTCGGTATAGCATCTGGTTCTTCGCATAGTGGTCGGTATGTGAAGTTTTCTTCTCTCTTTTTTTGTTGTTGTAAATATCAATGTCGAAGCTGTACTTGGACATTTTACGATTAGAATGTTGACATTTTATATCTGTATTAATTTCACGCTACGTAATATGGAATATCAACCCCAAATTTCCACTAAATTAGATTGAAACGAATCATTTGCCCGCGCTGCTGGCTGCCTGCCTCGGTCTGCTATTGCACAACTTTCAGCAATCTATCGCTGAGCCTCGCGAGAGCACTCGGGCCGCGGCCGGCCCGGCCTGACTTGCCGCGCCGTGTCATGCTGGTGGTCGTGGAATATTTCTCGAACAAAACTAAGTTTCGCTCGCTTTTATCGCACAGATAGCCTTTCCTTTTGCATGGTTTACCAGCATTAAATCAAAGAATTATTTAGATCTACATTGTTTTATTGTCTAGAATATAGTCTGTAAACAATGAAAAATAAGAAGAAGATGAAATGGAGATTTTGAAGAAGAATTGGGCCTAAAAAAAAAGAAAAAGAAAACTAGGTAGTTACTAGTTGGTAGAATCTAGGCCTTGGACTCGTGCCGCCCAGTGGCAGTGCACTGCAGTACAGTGAAGCCAGGGTTGAATTGATGTCAGAAATCACATGGGTGCCTCTTCTTGATACTTTCTCGTGATGAAAACACTGTTTTTATTCAAATCAAAATGGTCTAGATCTAGTGTTGTTGCCAGGGATGATTATTAAAACAAAATCATGATCGCGGTCATTTGTTGTTGACTTTGCTTCTTTTTTTTTCTATGAAACTAAGTTTAACTAACTTTTGTCTAACTTTAATAGCAATGTTAATGTTATAGATCATTTATTATTTTGCCCTTTTATCTTGATCTTGCTTATTGTCTCTGCCACATCTCTCTTCTGAAAGTCTTATATGGTTAAATTTGACAGTTTTATTTTGTCAAGGCAGCTTTGAAAAGAAGATCTTACAATTAGAGATGAGTTTTTAAATCATTGCAATATTTCATTGCTAATTCTAAATGGGAAGACCACAAGTCTATTGCCAAAAATTTTAAATTTGTGTACAAGATCTATAAATCATGAGGTTATTTTTGTCAAAATTTCAAACATATTTTGTGAAAAATGAAACCTGAAAATGATAAATTTTGCATTACAAAACAAAAGTTGATAAAGAATAAAGAATCACAGGATTCGCACTAATTTTTATCTTGCCTGACTTTATAAGTCTAGATGTAAATGTACATGTAGATCTTTGACATATTTATATTCATTTTAATCTTCTATCAATTGTAATATTGGTGTATTGTTTTCTTTTTATAGATTGCAGTTATCAGCATGTCAAAACGGAGTAACACAGATGAGGAAGGTGAGCCCAGCAAGAAGCCGAAGCCTGTTGGGGGAAACCGGTGTGTCTTGTATGGGTGCAGCAACACTATTCATGATGGCTTTGCCATACATGAACTACCGAAGGAAGGATCCATCAGGCGAGCATGGGTGAAGTTCATTCAACAAAGGTGTACGACAAGCTTCGAGAGGAATGGCTGAGGACCAGACTGGTGAACGACATTGGGATGATGTCCCCACATGCCCAAACCAGCAAGGTTGAATCATTCCACAACATCCTCCTTCACTTTTGCCCCAAGTTGCTTGTATACTCATATCAAGGGATGAAGTGCAGGTAAATTAGGCAATTAATTCATCAACATTATGCTCCCCTAATATAAATTTAACAAGAACGTCACAGAGGGCAGTGTTGTTTCTTCTTCTTCTTCTTTTGAATTTGATTTTATTGGTTTTATGTTTTAAAGTTATTATTTTCTTTTTGTTATAGCCAGGTTCTTTCTATTTCATATTTTGTTGGGTTTTTTTAAATTTTTTTTATTTATTATTTGTAACACATGCTTTTTACACTAACTCTTGCCTTCACTTATTGGAGAGTAGGTAACGAGTTTATGATGATAGACATTACATTACCAAAAAGATAAAATCAACTGTCACAAGTATGTTATTCATATGACCTTTATTTTTAACTTCACTCTTTTCAGATTATATTTGGCTGTCCTACATTGGAACGAAAATTGTGATAGAGCCCAGGCTGTTGATGCCGAAGGGAACCCAGTGTACAGGTTGAAGTATCCACGCTCGAAGGAAGGAGGCCACACAGTGGAGAGAGTGCTGACAGCTGGCATATGTGGTAAGTAGCCACATGTCTAGTGAATGATATCAATATTCAACAAAAGAGCTCAATTATATATAGAAATCTTTTATTACTTCATGATCAATAGAATTCAAATTAGTAGATTCTTGTGGCCTATATGCCCTTAATTTAATCTGTTGATTAAATTGATAATTATAAACATGTATTGGGTTACTTTCTGCAAATGTGTAGTGGCTGCCGGGCTCACGATCAATTGGGCAAAAAGAATTTCCGTTTCGGTTTAATAAAATTTGGAGTGGACTATTATAGGCTATTATTATTATTAATATTGAATAGCAAGCAGAAACAGGCATATATGTCAGTCCCCAAGTCAGTGAACTACCTATTCAGCAAAGAACATGTGCATGCCATTGGTATTTGATTGGTCATCCACCTACAAATAGTGTGTAAAATTAGGTAATTCAATATTTGTGAGAAAAAGAGTTTTCTCTTCTTATGTTCTTATTTTTCTCTTTTCCTTTTTTGTCTCGCCTGCGTAGCAAAAAGCGAGACATAGGCACCGCTTTTCCGGTGACGGCGGCGGCGACGGCGACGGCGACGGCGACGGCGACGGCGACGGCGACGGCGTCAACATCAAAAACTTAACCTAAGGTTAAGTTTTTGAATTTTTGATATAATTTTTAAAGTATAAGTTCTTAGTCAATGAAACTTTGACTATAGGGTAATCAAGTATCCCCAATCATGTGAGTAGAATTTTAGATCACAAAGTCAAGGTCAAAGGTCATTTCAGGTCACCAGACTTGGACTATGTTGTGACATCATCATCGAAAACTTAACCTTTGGTTAAGTCTTTGAATTTTTGATATAATTTTGAAAGTTTAAGTTCTTAGTCAATGAAACGTGGACTATAGGGTTATCAAGTATCCCCAATCATGTAATAGTATTTCAGGTCACTAAGTTAAGGTCAAAGGTCATTTTAGGTCAACAAACTTAGACTTTCTTGTAGCATCAACATCAAGATTTTTAATTTTGAGCATATTTTTAAAATTGATTGTTCAAATTCCATGAAACTTGTACCCGAGGGTTATCAAGTATCACAAATCATACGACACAAATTCCAGGTCACAAGGTCAAAGGTCAGTAGACTTTGATTCTGTTTTCACAACTTAAAGGTAAAGACCAGTATTGGAAACGCCCCAATTTCAAAAAATGAAATGGAAGCTCTCATTACCAATCATGTGAAAGAATATGTTTTGACTAATACATGATGATAATTTTTTTTCCGGGAAACCGCCTACTAATTCATATACTTGGTAAATTTGTTTCTCTCATGGTCTGTGAGAGATATAGGGTAGTCCCATATACATCTCTCTGTGTATAGTGCTTGTAACTTTACGAAGAATGGGCCAAATTCCTTATCATTTTGATGATTCCAGAACCTTGCAGATGCTAGATGCTAGATGATCAACCTTTTCTGATCGATTCCACAACGTTTCTTTCACAATGCAATCGCATGACCATAACTGGTCTTTACCTTTAATATGAGAATTAGTATTTTATAATTAATTTGTTCATATTTCATTCAAGTTATCGATCGTGGTAAATAACTTTTCTGATGATTCTAAGTCAGTATTGACTTGAAAATGTGATTATATGTAGAGGATTTCAATTTTGGGGGCCTGCTAATGGGCCACCCTGCCTATAAATAATGTCCGAACCTCAATTTTTCATCATATCAAATTGCGTAATGCAGGCGAGACCGCCGAGAGCGTTTCCCTTGTTCCTCTTATCAAAGTGTATTTTTTTAACACCGTATAGATGAATTTTCAAGGCATAGTTTTGGATTTTATCTTGTAGGTTATGTGAAAGCCCTGATGAGAGTTGTCGTAGAACTGGTGGAAAACAGGGAGCAGCTCAGAGACAACATGGAGGAGCTACAGCCTCAACCAGCACGGAGTGCCTCTCATCATCACCCCGACAATGGAGAAGCCGTGCAAGCTTTTGAACAACATCATCGCTTTGGCGATAGAAACTAGTTCTTTTGGTGATAGAAACTATGATGAATGTGTCAGCTACCTGAACATTAACCACTGATTGTTTTATTTCAGTACAATACATGTTTTTCATAGACCCTAAATTATGTTTATGCCAGTATAATTATGGAGAGTAACATGGAAGTACTCTATGCAAGTGAGTAGTGGATTCCGATTCTATGTGAGTGTAAAGCACTAGAAACTTGTCTGTAAGCTTGTACATACTTACACAAGCCAAAGTCCATGGTACACATCAATAGTCATTGGTTTTAATAGGTAAAATACTTATTAAATTTGTAAAACTTACATTTTTAGTTCAATTAAAAACAATTTCTGAAGCATACGCACTAGATTTTCATAAACACTAAGTAAATCACTGTTGATCATGAATTTGGCACCAAATATAATCTGATTTTTCTCAGTCCTTCATCTTGGCCAAGGCTTTTTGCTTATTTGCAAAAAATAAAAAAAAATAAAAAAAATGCATTTTTTTTTTCATCTAAACTGTTCTTATTCAAGAACCATTTGATGTATTGCACCAGATATGACTTTATTTTTTGTTTTTGATTTTTTCCCTTTTCTGCCGAGGTGAATTGTGTTATTCATTTTCAAAGTTAGTAGTTTTAAAGATCATGCCATATTATCACAGAAGAGGAAACATTGTGATGATACTTCATCACATCCATACTTTTTTTCCTAACAGCGGTTTCCTGTTTGTCCTAAAACCTGGTTATAAAAGATTGAAAAATAATCATCCTTGCAGATATAATAAAAATAGTCATCTATCCTGTAAACTTTACATAAAATAAGGATGAATGTAAAGTAAATGTTGCATCAAAGTTTTTGTTCCAATGGTGCATCATTTTGAAATATATTGCACAAACAGAGAAGAAAATGATTGGGGGGAAAAACCGTCAATGGGATGTTCTGAGAATATTTTGAGCAAAGGTAAACAAAAATTCATCTAAAGGAACACAAATCTTGTTTGTTTATTTCTATTATAGGTGTCTTGTAGGAAGCTTCATAATTTAAAGATGGAAATTGCTGTGAAAATGAGAGTGAGATAGAGAATGTGAAGGAAGAAGAGGGATAAAGATAGATACCAATAGGGATAGAGTGAGAGATGTGAATGTGATGGATGGAAGAGGAGAAAGAGAGATTGTGAAAGAGTGAGAGATGGGAATGTGGAGGGTGGAGGAGGAAAAGAGAGGCAGAGGGAGAGAGTGAGAGATGGGAATGTGGAGGAAGAGGAGAAGGAGGGACAGAGTGAGAGATGGGAATGTGGAGGGTGGAAGAGGAGAAGGAGGGACAGAGTGAGAGATAGGAATGTGGAGGGTGGAAGAGGAGAAGGAGGGACAGAGTGAGAGATAGGAATGTGGAGGGTGGAAGAGGAGAAGGAGGGACAGAGTGAGAGATAGGAATGTGGAGGAGGAGAAAGAGAGGAGGGACAGAGTGAGAGATGGAAATATGGAAGAGGAAACAGAGAGAGGAAGTGGGATAGAGAGATGGGAATGTGGAGGGTGGAAGAGGAGAAAGAGAGAGGAAGAGGGACAGAGTGGGAGATAGGGTTAAGGTTTATCCTTTTTGGGAGGATAGATTTGATGCAAAATAAAGGATTTCCTGGATTTATTACGATGCTTACCATTTATCACACTTGAAATTTCGTCAACCGCAATTCCCTTCTCTTACTCTCATTATTCCTCTGTCTATCTTTGTTGTGTCCATGCTGTTATTTCTCTTTCTCTCAATTTCGTTTTCTCTTTCAATTTCATTTTCTCTTTCTCTCCCCTTTTCTGACTCGGCAGGTTGACTGTATATGAAATGCTCAAATTATTAAAACAAATTACATTGCAGGGTGTATAACAAAAGAGAAGGAACAAGGCATGTGTTTTTTTTTTGTTTTTTTTTTGTTGCTTGTTTATATAGATTTCAACATTCTTCCTCATAAGAAATCGTTGCTTGATCACAGTTTTGCAAAAGTTCGAATATCAGCTCTTGGAAATTAGAATCAAATGTCGAGATCAAAGTTCATAGCAACCATACCATCATGAGAAGTTCAAACAATAGTATTTGTGATGAATATGAAGATGAAAGCCGATGATCACAAATAACGTACAGAAGATGGCTGACAATCACATAGAAGATGACAGTCATTCAAAGTTTGCAAGACAATAGTTGATGTTACATCCTCATCTCAACCGACGCAGGATGGTCCCTTTGTACTGACCACGTCCATCAGGATACGCTTCCATTATTGAGGCATGGACACATGCTGGCAGTTGCACCCTGATGTCCTTCCCGAGCCAGCCCCAACACCATCTCACGACTTTCCTGTAGGCCACATACCTGTATTTTCTGTAAAATAAAAAGCAATAAAAAAATTTCATTATTTTTCTTAGGATAGATGATTTGATGTCAAAATATTAATTCTTTATTAATTAATTCAGGAAAATAAAAATGATTAAAAAAAACTAAAATGACCAAGGGTTAGTCATTGTTTGTCGGGCGGTGGGGGGCAACATTCAAAATCGCATATAAAGTTTGTGTTTCATAACTACAGATTATTGGGGGGGGGGGGGGGGGGGTAACATGCTTAAACTCACAAATCGGTGGTCATTCTTGCCTATTTGTATACATTTCCTGAAAAAGTGCCCCGAAGCACCTGCAGATAAGGCAGCTAGTACACCAGTGGTCACCAGGCAAGAATTTTGGTCAAAACTAGTAATTCATCTTGCGGTGACTCAATTCGTTTTGAAAAGTTTCACCCAATAAACTTTCAAAATCAATCCATTTATTTTTTTGCCCTTGCCAAAATGATGAAAAGGAGAAACATAACTTACTCATTGTTCCTGTCCCCAAATGCTTTGGCTGCTCGGCGCCACCTATCTGTGTACTCCATCCATCCGATGTACAATGTTGTCGCATTTAGGATGGCCGGCTCAAACTCCTCAGAATCCACCAGACAACTTGAACCCTGTCGATCAGCCTCTGCCTTGACCTCTGCAATTTCCTGACAACAGACACAATCACCTTCATTGAAAGATGGAGGCACACGACATCTTCCACATGTACACCTTGAAATACAGAAAGATTCAAACAAAAATCAATACACCTACTATAATTTTATAAATATTTTATTACAGCTTCCTGATAAATATAAAAATGACATCGTTCTCGTAGTCGTAGTATGGTAAGAGTGCCCAAGGCAGTGCCTATGTCTGCGCACCCACGTAAATGCGCGATATTTATAGAACAAAACATCAAACTGACACCAATTTTCAATCTTAACCTCAACAATTCATTTAGATACCAAAATTTGTGAAAATAATTGGGAAGATTAAAAATGAGTTTTAGCAAGTTTCATTTGCCACCCTGAAAATTTCAATCATTGTCAAAAAAGAAAAGTCTGAACAAGGGGTTGTCCCTGGTATGAAACTTCACTGTGCTTGATTGAATTGCGTGCAAAATAGTGAGTGCGCAGACATGGGCACTTTTCAGTTTTGCTACACAAAATGACGAGCCCGTCTGAAATTCGTTAAAAAAAATTGTTCTTGTGAATAATTTGTCGAGTTTTTTTGTTTCAGTAATCATTAGAATATGAAGAACGGAATAACAATGATGATTCTAAAAATAATATCTTACTGTGTAATGAAATCGAGGTCGAATTTTAGGTGCGCAGACATAGATCTAGAGAATCATTCTAACATTAACTTTAGAATGTTAGACATGCCATTTATGACCGAGTCTAGAGATCTACGGTATTTGATTTCAATTTTGGGGGGGAATAAATATTTAGAATGCACAACAAATTCAATAAGCTTATAAGTCTTAATTTCCAATCCTCGACATTTTCATGAAGCCGATTTGCGTTGTTGGCCCTTCCAGCATCGCCAACATTTTGCCCAGGTTCACCACGAGGTAAAGGCTCATATTCCCACTCGACGATACGGCCGTGTTCTCCGGCGTCTGCATCACTTGCATCGCTGTCGGTATCACTGCTGCTGCCACTGTCCGGACTGTCACTACTACCACTGACACTGTCATTTTCACCGCTTTCCCCGCAACTGCCATCCTCCTCACACTCAAATTCTATAACTAAATCATCTTGTGCATCTGCCCTGACGACTGGGGTAGCCATTCTCTTTAGAAAGACTTCTCAAACTTCAATCGATAAAAAGCAGAAAGGATTCACGGTACGCAAAATCAATGTAGATCTCGAACATCGCGCGGCGAAGAATTATAGCAAACAATTCGAGTCTACACGGAATGACGTCACCCAAGTCCGTGCGGCGCGGGGGCTCTTGACCGAGGCGAATTTGGGAGGGGGCGGCAGTTGTACTGTAATTTTCATTTTTCTCAGTAATGAAAGGGTATTTAATTTTTTCTTTCTTGTATTTGTATTTTGTGTTTCATTAGCCGTCTGTGGATGTATGGTTGTGTACGCTCCGGTCAAGGTCTTTAATGAGTATTTTAAATTGAATGGAACGTCTCAACTCAGTAAGCATGGCTGAGATTTGTAAAAGTTGTTTTTACAAAGAAGAATCTGGTGAATAGCAGTGCTTATTCAAGCAAATATTTGCATCAATTTGAATCACAATCATTATTTTTTGCTTATTCCCTTTTAATGATCTTGTGCAAGAGGGGGGGGGGGGGGAGAAATCTTGAGATGGGATCTTTTGGGGGTGGGGGGGGTGTTATTATTATTATTATTATCATTTTTTTTGTTGGGGGGGGGGTCAGAACAGCTGCTTTAAAACAAAATCGAAAGTAAAATTCACATTACTACCCTATTTGTTTACCGGTTGGGAGGCTAAGGGGGGGGGGGGTGGGCCGGTAGAATCGATCCGTGGATCCGCGCCTGGCGCTAGTCGCATCTTGTAATGTGCGCTAGGCCTTTAATTCACATGTACATATATTTTGTCTCTCAATAGACCAGTCTACTAACATATTCTATTTCTATGCATACTTTTTAAACAAAGGTTGTTTTTGACAACCTGAAAACTTGCCCGAGGTTTGCCCAATATGGCAACATGCAATGTATGTAGACTGGATTCATTCATTCATTAACAGGTTGATGGAATAGCTTGTATAATATCCAGTAATCCATAAATTTGAACATGTTAGTAAACCGGTCTTTTGAAGACCCCACTCAATCTTTCTCTTGCAGTTTCGTGCTATTTTTATATACAATTTTGGCGGTTCAGAACAAGGATCTTATTCCATATTTTGGCCCAAAGAATAATCTAATTCTCAGGATTTCCCTATATTTCTATTGACAGAACAAGAAGAAGAGATAAAACAGAAATCCCTTTATTGGCCGTGTCTTCAAACTATTTCTCAAGTTTAACACAATACTTATGAGAGGGAATGGAGAAAAACGGGTACCTACATGTAATACTGTTCAACTTCAAATACAGGGAAAGAGATGAGTGAACACACAATTAACCTATATACTGGCAGGTTTTACAACACATGATCCTCTACAACAAGTGCTCTGCATTCAAAATTTTATTTAGACTTTAACCGTAGACCAAATCCTAACTTTAAACCTAACCTAAATTCCCAATTACAACACGAACCCTAACCTTAGAGGAAGTAGAGCCAAGAGAAATTGTTGGTGGAGCGTATATCTGAGCTCTCCAGGAAGCCAACAAACATCACAACTGCACACATTCAACAGCACGTCTAACACATTTATCCGAGATATTTATGGTATCATCTATTTGGAGCCAGAAGGACGTTTACTCTGTGTTAAAGTATATGAGTTATTGCCCTTTTGGCTCAAACAGATGATATGTGTGGTATGATATGTCACATAAAAAAAAAAATGTTAAAAAACACTTTTTTCCAGTTTATGAAACTACAAGAGACTCGGTATTCATCACACCAATTTCAACAATTTACAAGGCAGGCAAAAACTAATGTCGAAATAATCATTTGAAATTGTTATCTTCTTTTAATAATAATTATAACATGTAAGTTTTTTTCAGAGGCATTACCAAGCAATGTTATAACATAAGATAATTCCCAATTTGAGATTTTGATACAGTTCAAATCATCCAACATGTTTCTGAAAAATTAATTCCCTCTTATATTGCATAATCCTCAGATGGGTGGGAAACTTATAGAGAATTGCTGCTTTTTCATTCAATCCATTCATAATTCATGAAATATAATTTTACAAACATGAAAAGATCTGTAGACACCATCCTCTACCCAAAAAGCTAGAAATAACATTGGGGAATACCATATCAAGGTAGAAAGGAAAGAAGTGCAATACAAAAGGCAGTTGCCTACTGCTGAAAGCACAACTGCACAAGGATCCCAAACCTGCAAGATTTTTCTTCATGCTCAGAGTAAATCCATATTACAGATTCATCTGTAATTGTAAGATATGATCTTCAATAGTTTATTGTAGGATTTACTGCTGTCCTAGCTCTCTATTGGACACAAGGGCAATACTGTGCTTAATAATTAAGTCAAATGACAACAGCACCATGGCACCAAGAAATGAATTAGGTGTGTTGGACATAATATATCTTATTATTTTAGTATTGTTCAAGAGTCATTATTACTATTTGAAATCCTTTTTATACACAGTGCAGAATTTGAACATTTGTAGCACACAATTGATTTCCTTCATATCATATGGTAAAGATATCTTGATTCCCAATGACATAATCAATACAACAAAATGATAACGCTCTTTTCATACATGCAGTGATGCAGAGTGCACACAATTTTCAATAAATTTGTACACCTCTCATCGTACATTATAAATTGTATAAGCTGACTTGCAGTTTAGCATAATGATAAAGTCAAAGCAATAAAGCACTCTTTTTGAAAGGGGAAGGTCTAAAGATCTTAACCCACTGAGTATGGTTTAAGTTGGTACCACAAACACTTTTCATAGCTATCCGAGGTTCGGTATTTAACAAGTTAAAGTCGATCTAGAATGGAGGAAATATTCACATCCGCAGGATAATGTCATGTGCATGGTAGAGCAATCAATACTTCCTGTATGCTTTGCAGAAATTTCAACTTGACAGAACACAGAGCAGTTTCCCCAGTGTGAAATCTCCAGGCTTCGCACACCTCATGGACAAAATAATCAAAGACTTCATACATACAATTCCATTTCTTCAGGCATGTACATAAATCCTAATTTCTCGTCCATTTTCATCGCGTCCTTCAATAATTTGATCAGTATTCATCATGTGATTTCATGTAGACGGGCTTAGCCTGCTTCCGTAGTCTAACTTGGGCTTTCTTGTCTTTGCTCATAGAGGGAGGCAGTCCACCATAAGGAATGTTCACAGGCCTGGGGTATGGTGTCCTGTAATGCAAAGCTAGGAGAAAGATGAATGAAAAGAAATTTGAAGAAAAAAAATGAATAGTCAAGTGAATCTGTCATTCAAAAGGAAAAGCAGCAAGATAAATTTGCATGTTGATTCTTAAGAGTATGTAAGTGAGTCTGAAAATAGATATTGGTAACAACAATACAGTTTTATATGACAAGTTTTATATGAAAGTTTATATGATTGAGAAGCAGACAACTATTGAGATATGGGACTTGGAAGAAAGTGGGAGCTGGAGAGAGAGAGAGAGAGAGAGGGGGGGGGGGGGGGGAGGAAGAGAGAGAGAGGGGAAATCAGATAGTGAGATAAACAAACCTAGAGATATACACAAAGACAAAGATACTTTAGAGTTTGACAATTGTAAAGGAAACAAAAAAGGCTGGAGGAAGGTTTGAAACACTTATTCTCTCAAGCTAGCTGCACCTACCCATGGTTAGTCTGGACTCTCCTTCTTGAATGCAAAGTTTGATCTCCTCAACATCTGTCAGCTGTTAATCAAAACAAAAAGAATAACAAACAACATTACTACTTATATATCAATTACATGTGATGTAGATTTTGTTGGCCAAATTAAATATTATACAATTCATGCTAATTTATTTTTTTAATGAATAAGTGTTGACTCATTTGAAAATGTTTGAGTAATCTTCTGCTCAATCTTCACTGGATTAGTTATGGGCTTATCGGGGAGGGGAGAGCTAAATAAGTCTATAAAATATGATAAGTATACACTGCCACCTGGTGCAATGAGGTTTATACATGATCAGGAATTAATTCATCAAAAGAAAAATTTATGTGAGTACACTGTAAATTTAGGGTCTACTGGTAATGAGTTTCAGCTTCTAGAATTTGTAAAAGACCTGATTGTGATCAAATGTGGCTAGACAATTTGGAGCATCAATAGATCGTAAAGGGAGGGGAAAGGGCAATTGCATTAACTGTACGTTTAACTATATGTACCAGTTACCCCCTCCCTGCTCCCTGACAAAAAGCCCTCAACTAGTAACCATTAAAAGCAGAGACATAATTTGTTTGTAATCCCATACTTGTTTATTTTTCCTGAAGAGTTCTTTAGTTTCAGTCTTGATGTATTCCCTCTCGGATTTGGTGTCACCGAGTACTCCAGAGCTGGCCTCCCATTTCAGAGCTGTTCTCAGTAAGCTTTTATACAGGGATAGAGATTGGGATCTCAAACTGATGGCAGCCATTTTGGTAGAATTAATTCTCAAGAAGCTTGGGTCATATTGGATTCTCTTTTGACTTTGCAATTTTGCTAAAAAGTTAAAGAAAACATCAAGGAAATCATGATTGAACTACATGCACCACACACACTCCATGTGTAAACAGAATTTAACATCTGTTATAATACTTTAACATGAACTACGGTAGTTTAATTGTTTCTGGGCTTTCGTGAAATAGGAAACCACCATTCACTCCATCCAAGTCATGTACAGTACTTCAGGCTTCAGCTCTTCATTTTGTCACACACATTATAGTCCATAGCTAGACTCTACACACAATTAGGTGTGTGCAGGCAAATGATTCATTTCCAACACCACGATACAGCCCATTTCTGTCACAAAATTAAGGCAACCCCTCCAAATCCTGAACATCTTTAATAAAAAACAAGCGTTCAACAAAACTTAGACAAGCTCTCTCTCTAAAAAAAAAAACCTGTTCATTGTTTTAAATCAGTCTTACAATACAGTACAATTTGATATCACCATGATTACAGGAGGTCAAAATCAGACTTTTGAAGTATAGTTATAGACCCATACAACTCCAATTACTGATTACCTGACAGTGAATTTCAAAGTTCCTAAAGCCAAACATGTAGGTCTATGTCATGACTCATGTCAAACAGCCAATGCAACCCAAACAAATTGAAAACAAGTTAGTTTCACCAAGTTAGAGTTAGATTAGGCCTATAGACTTGATCCCGACATGACTTACGTCATTTAATGAAATTATGAGCTCTGCTGACCAGTGTAAAAATCATAAATTCATAATTGTAAAACATCTCATCAAAGTTGACATATTACCAGATGAAGAATAATGCATCAGATCATCAGCGCCACAGCACAGTAACAGGCACAGCTCAGTTCGCATTCGTCGTCTTGAACTTCACCTATCCAGCTAACTACTAGCTAGCTTCAGGCTTTTTCAGCTAGCCCTCAGCTAGCTCGGGCGTACAGCGAGCCCCCCTTTCAAGAAAGCGCGCGCGCGGCGTTTACTTTTTATAACCGAGAAATGGCGACCGCAGGGATGACTGTTGAAGATGAGACAGAGATGGAGTTGGCCCAAAAGGGCCACATTAAAGAAGAATTTACTGAATTTAAAACAGTGAAAAACTTGTTTCAGAGCCTTCCCAACATATACAATGATCAGATTGGTGTAGAGTTAGCTCTGGAGCAGTTTACTGGTAAGTCTTTTCAAAAGGAAAATATAAGCTTATGTGAACCAACACGGAATTCAGTATGTGGGAGCGTACTGTAATCCTGGGTTACCGTAGTAGAGCCAGAGCCAGAGGAGGGGGTAGAGGTAGGGAGGCCAATGCCCGGGCGTAAGGCTTCTACGCCTACGATTTGTGCGCTCGTCGTCCAAGTCAGAAAATTACCAGAAGAAAAAAAAAGGGGAAAAAAAAGAAAACAAATATCTATGGAATAAAATGTATAACTAATACACAATTACACACTCCAAAACATACCTATAATCACGGATCTGTAATGCCGTAATGGTCTTTCACCATTTGTTGACGATCTTGCAGATTTTGATGTATTTTGATCCAATAATTGCGCTAGCAGACGAAAATAACGGACGCACAAGAGAAACTAGACGGGTCCTAGAGGGCGATGAGGTTAGCTCACTAAAATCCTTCTCAATGACTGAAGGTAGCGCCTAAAAATATGGAATCAATTTAATATCAAAGAACTTTTGATAGAGATTAACATATCAGTTGTGCACAAATGTCACTTTTAACAACTAGAAAATATAAAGAAAAAGGATTATATCTTTTTAATTGCAGATTTTACAAACTGCACAATCAAAGGTAGATAGAGTACGATGTTTTTGTCAATCTTGCGTTGGTTTGAGCCCCATAGCTAGAGCTATCTCAAATTGGGGAGCAAAACTGTGGACAAAGACGTCATTGTTCCAGCCCAAAATAGAAGTCTTGCGACATCATAATATGAATATGTATGAGGTCCGGTCTCATCGCGCGCAAAACAAATTTGACGTAGTCTCACACATAGTACCTTTTTCTCAGCACTAGACACCAGTGTCGTGCAGTAATGTATGAGAAGTGTAAAAAAAGACATTTCAGTAAAAAAAAAAGTCTACGTGAGCAGTCTATACTCCAATTGAGAAGTGTAATGAATGCCATGATTTGAACGTGTGTGTTTTAGTGTATGATATCATCATGGCTAGTGAGAGAGAGAGAGAGAGAGAGAGGGAGAGAAATATCTCCGTCAGTACACGTCTATCAATGCGTGCAGTCCTATTGACTATGTTTGATTCCGTATTGTGTTCGCTGCAACTGTTGGATTTATCGATCGTATTGTGTTCGCTGCAACTGTTGGATTTTGCAGTGTCAGATTGATCTTTACTCATGAGGAAATAATTGGAATACATATCAAAACTAAGGTAGGCCTATTTATTTATTTCAATCATTTTCTTAATTTACAATGAGTGGTTTTCGAGCTTTCTCTCATTATGGCATGGCTAGCATGGCTCGATTGCGGCTTGCATGCAATTACCGTACCTGGACGGCCTGTAGTACTGTGTCGGTGTGTGCGACTAATTCAAGGCTAGCCGGTGATGATGAATGTACTTTCGCGCGAAGTTTTGAACTTGTTGTCCGGGCAATGACCATGATGACACGCCCATTCCCTCGGGCCTGTCTAATTCTCGACGTAATTTTTGGGACCATGAAATTGATTGTTTCAAGGCTCTTGCGTACGGCCAAGCGTAGAAGGAAGGGAGTGCTTAAAAGCTGGATATCTCCTATTTTATGGAACTTCTGGAGTCGGCAGATGGGTGAGTTTTCTTAGTGAAAGTAAATGCTTTCTTTTAATCTTTGTTTTATTTTAAACAAATTCGTAATTAAAAAGTTAGATTTGGGCATTGGCCTCCCTAGTAGAGGAGAGGCTGGGGGGGGGGGGGGGGGGGGAGGTGCGCCGGTGCGGGGTTCAAGCTGGCTAAATAATGTCATGAAACTTCGAAAGGGAGCCCACTGCCATGGTAAAAAATGCAATGTACCTAACATTTCCTGTGACAAGAATTTTTGGTAATTCTTAAGAATCTGCCCTAGATCCTCTAGATCTAGTCTACTCTAAGTCTAACGTTAGCTCTAGACTAGACCGAAAGCTTCAGTCTCTATACCGTCGGTTGTTCCACTGAGACTACGTCTGGCTCCACTAGACCTCCGGTTATAGAGACAGATCGATCGCCTATGCCAGCCTATGTTGAAGATATCGCGGCTAGATTTTAGCCGTTAGGCCCCTCCCACAAACATGAACAAACTTGCCACGGCCGTATTGTTATGCCCCCCAAAATCCCCCAAAATGTCATTTTACCTCGTGCATATCCAATTTTACATTAGGCCTAGGCTATAATACATCGGTTCCACTTACTAACTTGATTGAAATAATCCGTTTAATGGTCCCTTTTAAGGAAATTATGGGTCAAAATCGACATCCATGTTGAAAATCTTGCAAGCCGTGTTAAACAATCGCTGCCGTCAATCTCATCCCTTCTAGTCTACGCCGAAGGCAAAATGATTATGAAGGAAAAACTGTGCGCCATCTACACGTTCGTAATGGCGTTATCACAGTTTTTCCTTCATAATCATTTTTGCCTTCGGCGTAGACTAGAAGGGATGAGATTGACGGCAGCGAGAGTTTAACACGGCTTGCAAGATTTTCAACATGGATGTCGATTTTGACCCATAATTTCCTTAAAAGGGACCATTAAACGGATTATTTCAATCAAGTTAGTAAGTGGAACCGATGTATTATAGCCTAGGCCTAATGTAAAATTGGATATGCACGAGGTAAAATGACATTTTGGGGGATTTTGGGGGCATAACAATACGGCCGTGGCAAGTTTGTTCATGTTTGTGGGAGGGTCCTAACGGCTAAAATCTAGCCGTGATATCTTCAACATAGGCTGGCATAGGCGATCGTTCAGTCTCTATAACCAGAGGTCTAGTGGAGCCAGACGTAGTCTCAGTGGAACAACCGACGGTATAGAGACTGAAGCTTTCGGTCTAGCTCTAGACCTACTTGAGTCAAAATTCCACTTTCCAGAACATCTTAAAATTTGGAAAATGTAAAATGACTAAAAAAGATACTCAAATAAATGATCAAAATACCTTTTGGATGCAGACAAACTTGTCCAAGGTCAACATTAAAGCTCATGTGGTCTAATTTAAGGCATTGTTTCCAGACAATACCATCCTTTTTCTAACCTTCTTCGAGGTATCGCGATATACCTTGGAGTCATACCTTGGAAGTAGGCATAAAGTTATACAAAACTTATTTGCCCCTCGGTGTCTGTTAGTGAGTTACTTTTGAATTTGGCGTATAGATATAGATTTCTTGCTTGCTTACTTACTTGCTTAGCTTACTTGCTTAAGTCGGGTCAACTGCCTGAGCTGTGATGGCCTTCCACACATTCCTGTCTAGCATGGCTGCTTTTACCTCTGACAGTTCAAGTCCCGTATCCTTCTTGAGTAGGTCTGTATAGTTAAGATGAGGTCTTCCAGGTTTCTTCTTCCTGTGTTTAGGTTTCCAGAGTAAAAGCTGAGATATTGGTTCATTGATGTTCTTACAGCTGTGGCCTGCAAAACGTAGCCTTCTTTCCCTGATCTTTTCTGATACTTTTGGTAGATTCCCGTACAGCTCCTTATTTGTCATATGCTGACTCCAGTGCACGTTGAATGCTGTCCTAAGAAGTCTGGTGTAGCAACCATCTAATTCTTTTGCCAACTTTGTTGTAACTGCCCATGCTTCGCAGCCGTATAGCAGCACAGAAACAAACTATGGACGTTGCCCAGGTAACAGGCAATAGGTAATGACAAATATGCCCGTTGCCCCAGGTGAAGGGCATAGTTAAATTTTGCTGAGATCCTACCGTAAATCTCTGTGTATAAGGTGCAACTGTGTATAAGGCGCACCCCTACTTTGAAGACAAAACAAAAAACAAACAAAAAAATTCTGGAATTAAAAAAAATAATTCTGTCATCTTTAGTTTCAACATTTTCTAAAGACAAAATAAATATTTATCTCTTATTTTTAACACCGCATGTTTTTTTTTAAAGCTGAAAATTACTTGGCAATGACAACAAGTTTCGATACTGATAGCTGTTGCAAGGCAAGTTCAGACTAGTCAGACAAAATGCGCAGTGCACTTCGTTAGCTGTAATGCATGCCCAAACGAACACAAACAAATAGGCTATACGTGATCGTAACAAGAAATCATTCAAAACTATGAAAGCACAATTGGAAAGACAACTGCTCAAAATTACCATCATCAGATACATAACTTGGACAAAGAATTCAATAGTCGTCCAAGAAATGCCACGGAAATTGTGATAATCGAGGAGTAACTGGGTACATTTTTATCGAAAGGGGCCTGCTGCTTGTTATACTGCTTTTTACCGTAGAGGCCATTAACTAGCTAGCTGTGCTGGCAACAACAACCCTATGCGACAAAGTGCTTTGCAACCCATATTTATAACGGCAGTTCGGATTGATTCAGGATGAGCTAGAATATGCAGGGTGCTACAAGAATTTTTTTCACCACTTGCCCTGTCGGGCAAGTGGGTTTTCAATTTACTTGCCCAAACAATATTTCCACTTGCCCAAAACTTTAAAGCGAAAAAGGACTCGAGGTTAAAGCATTTATTATCTCGTAATGATAAGTTAGTGTTTTAGATAGCAAATTAATGCACATACATGTACAGTGTAACTGTACTGAATAATAACCTAATATTAGGCCTGAGTCAAACCGTTTAACCGACGGTTATCCGACCGCATTCATCAAAACCGTTTAGCATTTCTCGCTCCGGTTAACCGTTATTTGCATACATATTGGAATGTGCTAATAGCCGATGATAAAGATAATCAAAGAAACCGCAGTGTAATGTTACACCCTGGCCGCTGCGCGCCAGCTTTCTGGCAGCAGTAATCCCCATGAATGAATTTGTAAACAATAAAACAACCAGCCCCCTTCTCTCTTTTCTCACCCTCTTTATTCCCTTCTCTCTGCAATGTGTTCATCGCTCTTGTACCTTTTCTTATTACTGCACTCTCAGCTCACAACTTTCTAAATGTTTACACATTCGATGGTCAGTTCCTCTCACATCCCTTCTCCCCCGAGTCTCTCTCTCTCTCTCTCTCTCTCTCAATATTAATATCCATCCCTTGCCGACTCGCCCCCTAAAATAATGTTCATATATAAATAAAATACAAAAATATTGATAACAATAATAATTGAAGTTTTAGAAATATCAATAAACAAAGTCTTGGATATTGTGAGTAATTTAAGTTTTTGATCATTCTTCAATTCAGCCGATTAACACAGCCACCCTTTCTATCTAGTCTCACTTGTTTTACTTCTTTACTCTCTCGTGTCCCTGCCTCGTCCATGCAGGGACATGCAGGGACATGCTAGCCCATGCATGCTCTCTCAGTCACACACACATGTACACACAAACCTCCGGCGCCCAAATACACTGTACATACACACAGATGGAGAGCTCATGCTTGTCACATGCACACATGTGGGCGTGGCTTCTTGACCTCCCACTGAACTGGGTACGGTGAAAGCACGCGCGGTCACCAACCTGTAATTTATGCTGGTATCAAACTCCACCCACATAGCTAGAGAACCTTCTTGATTGGTCACTAACTTGGATCAGCTCATTGCAGGGTGTGTCTTGGGTGTGTGTGATACACACTTCCACATAATTTCATATGGCAATGATACATGCAGGGAGCTCTCTCCCTGACATGTGCAAACATTGCATTGCAAAGGCATATATAAACACGTCACAGATCAGCTATCTTCACAGAGTAACTTTGCAAGGTTAATCATGATATCAAATTCAGATGAGGAATAATAAGACATGTTTTATGTTGTTTATTACTGGTCTCTGTTTATCAGGATGACCCAATTTGTGCCATAGTCCTGGGCTGGGAATGCTCAGCCCGACAGTCTGAAGACCAGCGGGGTTCTGAGCTACAGCACTATTACAAATACTGTATTTTCACTTTTTCAGATTATTATTAAACGGTTAAACGAAACCGCCCGTATACTTTTAACGGTTAACCGTTTAGCACAAAAACCGTCAAAGAAAATGGTCAACAAAGGATGGTTGAAGGTTTAAAAAACGCATTTTATTGATTCTCCATAAATAATCAGATTCACATTCATCTGATTTATATGAGCAGCGAGTTTTAAATAATATGTTCACAATCATTAACAGTCATGAATAAATATCAAACATTTGACTTTTTGTACTTACTAGAAAATCCCTGTTGTTTATTCCATTCCGATTCGCACGTGTTCATTTCCCTAGAATAATGACGTCATATTTGGCGTGATTCAACCAATCGGCAATCAGAGAATAGCAAAGGCCTGTCGGTGCGGCCTGCAGAGCTAGAGAGAGAGAGCGCGAATAAGCTCGCAGCTGGTACGATCGCGCTAGCTGTCTCTAGCTAGCTCACGGCCGGCCGTGCGTGGAGGCGGAGCGGCATTCATGGCTTGAAGTGTCACTGTTGCATGCGCGCTGAGCTAGCTGAGCTGGCTAGCTGTCTGTGAAGTTTTTTCGAAATCGGAACGATCGCTTTTTTGCTTCTGGATTTTGACGACGGGTAAGAAGTTGACGGGTGAATGGTAGAGTTCAATTTGGTTGCCCCGGGACGTCGGGCAAGCGGGTTTGTCGCGCCCTGGAATATGATTGGTAAAAATTAAATACTTAAGTTTTCAGGTGGATTAATTTAAGAGGTGTGCAAAACTGCAATTTCATTATTTTTTTCGGAGCATTTTGAGGACTCAAAATATCCTGTACCTGTGTATAAGGCGCACCCCGACTTTTGATTTTTGCCGACAGAAAAAAAGTGCGCCTTATACACAGAGATTTACGGTAATTGGTTTACGTGTAAAAAGTTTTACATGCGAGCATGGATACCATACAGTAAAATTCAAATAACTTTCCAGTGAAGATTAACATACAGTTTCTCAGATTATCTGTAATATTTTAACCAATCTTTAATCAAGAAAAGGATAATACGGCCAGAATTCTTTGTAGACTATATTGTGAAAATGGTATATAAAAGATATATGGACTGCTTTCCTGTACCTGTTTTTATACCGGTTCTGAGGGACGTTACATCCTGCTACAGTGTATGACCCCTTGAGCCTATATAGAAACATCTATGTCTCTCAAAGCGGTCAATATATCTATATTATCACTTAGCCTAGTGTCACCACCAAAATTTGTATTTTATTGTAAAATATCAAATATAAATCACCATTACGTTCAATTCATATTTGAATAAGAATAACAAAACCATGCATATAAAATTCAAATGTAACTTTGTAAAGGACTTAAAAAGTGTAAGGAACAACTTTGCAGAAAGTACCTCTCAATCTTTTATGCCGAGCTGTTCATAAAGTTAAATTGCTGCCATAAGACTGGAAACTCAAATATGGTGCAGCGTTTAAGTGGAGAGAGACACTCTACTTTTTAACTTTCACCTAATCTGCTTTGTCAGGTTTTTCTGCTTTTTTCAAAAGCAACTTGTTATAAAGATTGATTATAAAGATTTGATTACCCTGATGATCACATATGATTACTTGCTTACAGTGATTGTGGATGAGTACCAGGAGCAGCCTCATCTGCTGGACCCTTACCTGGAGGAGATGGTCCTGGACTTCCTCTCCATCGGTAGAGACATGAACCTTGACAGGAAGCTCTCCCATCTTGCCTTCAAGTTCCTCTATCTTCTCACGAAGGTGAACTATCATTATTTATTTATTTATTTATTTATTATAAGTCTTGTTTTAGTAGGGTGGCTCCATCAGTAGTTAGTTGAATACTGTTTTCCGTGGAGGCCCTACATCAATAGACTGTGGAGACCCTACTATCAATAAACTACAGTCAAACCTTTCTTAGTGGCCACCTCTCTATAAAGGCCGTCTGTCTATAGTGGTCATCAATAATACATGTACCTCCCTCTAGAAGGAAATGTGTTTTGAAGAACCTGGCTTAAAGTGCCACCTGTCTTTCGTGGTAATTTTTGTGTTTTCCTTGGGTAATAATAGGCAAGTTTGACTGTATGAAACTGGCATAACAACCCTCTGGTCCTACACAAATAAATCTAGGGTTATGGTCATGTAGATGTATTAAGTGCTGTATAAACCCAGAATATTATTATTATTAATGCAGACATTATTATTTAAACTTAAGACCAATGGTTAAAAGGACCAATTAGATGTAGTATCAACTCAAAATATCCTGTAACAAAATAAATATCTTCAAGATACAGGAGGGAGGTGTCTGTTTTGAAACACTTTATCTTTGATTTCATAGAATCGTCATGGAAGTCACAAAGTAAAATACATATGTAGTTCATCACTTTGCCTGCATTATGTCATCCACTATCTGTATTAATTTATCTATGACTACCTCTATTTCCATGTGAGACTCTCTTGTTGTGAGTTTTCCCTTTTTTCTTTTAAGTGAGGCATTTTCTGTGTCAATGAGACAAGACTTTACTCATCACATATGTATTGTCAATCCTTAGTATGTGTATCAATCCTTATTTCCACAGAATCATTCAATGATTCATTTTCATAGCAAAACTATGACCCCTTCCCAAGAATGTATTATTGACCTAATAATGACCTTTGTTTCCAGGCTCGTGGACCTAAGGTCATCGTTAGACTGCTACCCCATGAGGTCGTGGATCTGGAACCCACCCTTGCTCTCCTGAGTGCTCAAGATCCTAACGATCACGAGGTACATGTATGAACAAATTATCAATTTGTGATTATTTTATCTTTGCTTGAGAAATGTTAAGCCATCTTGTACATGCTGTATCCTGTCATGTCAATTGGTTTCACATTGATGAATGGAAAATATTAACTGCCATATATATGAGAGAGAGAGAGAAAACAACATTGAGTTTCTGTTCATTTTTCATGGAGTAGAATGTAATGTATTGTACCGGTATTGTAATTGAAATGTAATTTAAAATACATAAACATGAATTATGTACAGTATATTCATGTAGTTATAGAGAGATGGAAAGAATCATGCGCTATATATATATATATATATAAGTCAAATATTATTTCTAATTTTATTATTTCATCTTGATGCAATAGGCCCTCTGTAGTACTGGTAAACGGAAATGAGTGTGTGCTATATACTGTTATATTAAAGTTGAATATTCTTTCCATTTATTATTTCATCTTGATCTAATAGGCTCTCTTCAGGAAACGAATTTTGTGAGAATTTAAATAATCGGGTGAGCTCATGCATACATGCATTGTCAGTAGTAAAAGGAAATGAGTTAACGCCCCTCAAGAGACAATATGACTTGGTCAAGTGGTCTCCCTGCATTTACAAAATGTCCCTTGTTCAAGTCAGAGCCATTTATCTAGACAGAAACATGTCACCTAGATGTAAGCTATCAGATTATCATTAAACATTTGTAAAATCAAAGTACACAAACACACACACACACATACAAATGAGATTCATATCTGTGCAGTTGACTCTGCATTTAACTCAAAGTTGTACAAGTTGAATTTTCAATTTTTGGACCAGACTTTGCAAAACATATGTTATTTATACTTCCTATTTGTCAAATTTGCATATTAAAGTCAAGCTACTTTTTGCAATCCCAACAGATTCGACTTACGCAGAGTTAACTATAGATTGTTCTAATGTACATGCAAGACCCTTTTCAAGTCACCTATTAAAACACTCCGAGCTCCATGTAATGTACTGCTTTGCTTCTCTACTTTGTCCATCACAGACTTGGGAGTCTCGCTACATGCTACTGCTCTGGATGTCCATGATATGCATGATACCATTCGATATGTCCAGACTGGACAGTGGTGTGGCCGGAGCAGGTGACCAGCAGACTAAGAGTCTACCCACCATGGACAGGATACTCAATGTAGCTAAGGTCAGTTGCACACCTTGACCCTTCCTGTGTTGAAGGCGTTTAGTCCTGCCCAAGCTTATTTTTAGTTATGGCTTTTATGAAATTTAGCTTTATTTTAAACCAGCTTTAACTTTAAAGTCATCTAGAATTGTTAATGAAACAGTATACATGATGCTTTTACCAGCAAAATATTAAAAGTAAACACGTTGGAAATGCAACTCTCCTTTACTAAAGCACAGATGTCGGGACTACAATCTCTTCCTTTCTGTCATTACTCAATTATTCTATTAGGCATTTTTTGGCCAGATATTATTAGTTTGTAGTTTTGAAAACTCAGTGTATGTATGGTTCGATTCTGAAGAGAAATAGTATTCCATCATTACCAGAACTGTTTCTTTGCTGTTTCCTTGCCGTTTCTTTAGATTTATCTTGGGATGAGCGACAAATGCAGAGATGCAGCTGCCTTCATGGTATCAAGGTAAATTATCATAACAATTTGTGTGTTTCCTTTATACCATTATGGTGATTTCAGAATGAGAATTAAATGCAAGTAAAACTGTATCACTGTTTTAATTCTGAATGTTTTGTTCATCTGTCAAACTGAGATCAAGATAATTTAGGACTGAAGCCATTGAAAATAAACATTCTCTTTGATATGTGATTGGGACTTTATGTATTTCATAATGAAACCTGCCTCTGCCGTATTAATTAACCAAGTCCCTTATTCAACTCGACTAAACCAGGGTCCCATTGCATTAAACCTAGCACTGATGGTAATGCTGCTATTAATGGTATCTTCCTTGGAAACCTTAATTTGATTGGCTGTTGAGTGATGTTGCCATGGTAGTTAATATTGGTGCCAAAGTTGCCATCCGTGGTAAGTTTTACACAACAGGTCACAAGCTTTATTTCAAAATCTGAAGAGTTTTGTACTATTTATAGTTGCGCCATGCTGCTCAAGATCACATTTGTGCATTCTTGAATTAGTGCTACTTCAGGGCCCTCTTGCACAAAACTTTAACCATTGATGATAACTTTGCCATCAATGGCAACTACCATGGTAACAGGGCTCAACAGCCAATCAAAATCAAGGTTTCCATGGTAATTACCATTGATGGCAAAGTTACCATCACTGTTAAGTTTTGTGCAACATGGCCCTGATGTGGTTGTTCTCACTATTTGATCGGCATAAGAGCAAAAGAATGCATTCTTGCCAACTGAAAGAAGGTATGTCCTATGGCTATCTACTATTGTCATTAATTGATGTAGGTTTCTTACAAGACATGATGTTAAACAAATGAGGTTACCTGAGTTTCTGGACTGGTGTCTGCAGACTGTCACAGAGGAAGGAAAAAGTAAGTTTTCCATTATGAAAATGATAATAACAACAATGGAATTTTGTGTAGCACTCAATGGAATTGGACATTAATAAAAAAGAAATATGAAAGTCAATATCGTGTCTACATAATTGAGTGGGCCATATCATCCCGGATGTGGTGCATCAATCATTTGATCCTCTGTTTACAAAGAAAAACCTTGCCAATACAGGCCTGTTTGATAGTTGTGTAATTAATATGTACATGTGTGTCTTGAGAATTTGCTGTAAGATGTCATATCTACCTATCCTGGGGGTGTTTCACAAAGATTGTAAGTTGAAATTATCTATAAGTTGGACTTAACAATTATGAAAAACCGTTATCATCTTTGGAAATATTTTGTAATTTAAAAAGTTATTTTAAAAGGCATAAAATGTTGTTCAAATCATTCATATTTTCTGTCAAGGAGATATCATTTTCTTGATGGGGAATTTATGAAAAGTCTAAAATACTTTTTGGAACTTTTTAAGGCTACAAATGGCTCTCTGTAATGTTTAAGTCCAACTTAGAGTTAAGTTCGACTTTTGTGAAACACCCCCCTGATGTTGTATTGAAAGATGCTGATAGGTCACATTTTTTGTCTTACATTCTTTACTTGCAGAAGAAACCATTACATCAATATTCAAAATGGCTGGAGTCTTGTCTGTCCTGGTAAGAAATACAGTGTATTAAACTTGGTTTGATACATCCATGAAATATTAATATTTTCATCATATAAGCCATCACATATAGCACTTGTACTAATGACCCCAAATATCAACAGAACCTTTACACATGGAGACGTTCCACTTGCATTTTAGTATAACCACTGCCAAAGTGATGGAGGTGCTTCATAAATATGGTACCTTTTGTTTGCCCTCTTGAAAAGAAAACTTTCACTTGATAATTAATGAATAATTATTACATTACTTTCATGAACACGTAGCCTGTCATTTTATAAGAACACACATGTGCCAAACCAACCACATTAACGTTCGCATCCTACTGGGTACTCATTACACACCTGGCCGGAGAATGGCAAATGTGGATAAATGTCTTGCCAACTGGCACTATTGCCATTCTAGGGCACAAACCGATGACCTATGATTTCTAGTCCAAGTGTTTAAACAACTCCACTTCGACACCTTTACCTATATGTTGTAAGATATCTGGCTTTTGGATCCATGTTGTTCTGTAGAAGAAAAACAAATAGTGTATGTGTCATGATGAACTCTGTTATTTTTCTCTTTACAGGCTCAATTGTTCAAGCTTGGCAAGAGAAGTGACATCCTTCAATATGGTAAGTTGCAAGTCTTCTCAGGTTTTTCTTAATTTATAAATATATTTATATTGAGAACACATGTACATGTATATCCACCCTTACGTTTTCACTTTCTTACTAGAAGCCATATCTCTATCCATCTAAAAGTATTTCTTTGAAGCTCCTACTTAATTAGTGTAAATTTTCAAATAAAAATCAAGCTGAAAAGGTGCAAAATTCTGTGCTTTTTTTGTTGTTCTTGTTGTAAGCAAAGTAATAAATATGATACAATCTGTTAGAAATTCAAGATCAAATCAGGCTAGAAGCTTAACATGTGACCACTTTTTAATTTTGACATATATAGAGTCAATACATATTTTTTCTTAGAGGGAAACAGTACAGGTTAACACTGTAGCCATATGTCCTGTAGAAAGGTGGCCATTATCCATATGGTTAGCCCTCTGTCTTCATTTACAAATCAACTCTTGATGGATCCTGCTTTAAAATCAAGTCACATCTTTGGATAGTGATGTTAAATTAAGGGTCTGTCCCTGGAGGGTTCAGATGTAAATATTGATTGTTACATGTTTTTAACTACCCAATTAAGAAATTTGAACACACAGGTGCACCTAGCCACACAGACACAATTTAAAGTAATTGTGCTGTTGCTTCTATTTTGTCTCCAGCTCCAGTTGTTTTGCGAGTGTCAATGGAGTGTGAGCTAAGCAGTCATAACAACACACAGATAAGGAAGCTGTCTATGAAACTGGTGCAGAGACTAGGCCTCACTTTTCTTCCTTCCAGAGTCATGAAATGGAGGTTAGAATGTTTCCTTAATTTCAGTAGACAACTGAATTGGTAAATCTAATACCAAGGAGATTTTGAAAGATATTTGCAATCTTTCCAAGCAAGGTTCAGGATGATTGGCCCAGTGCACTTGTACACAAAGATTATTAATGTTGTTTGTTATACTCCTTTTGAAAACATTGAATCCAACAGGGAACAGAATAGCCTTTATCTAGCAATCCTTGCAAATATTTACCAGAAATCATGGATAAAATACCAAATGTTCTTGTGTATATATATTTTCATACAATAAGAATAATATGAGACTATCAGTAACATGTTTCTTTCTTTTTTACAACCAAAACTATACTAGTTTTCCAATTTCAAGTTGAATATACATTTGTGCATTTACTTTAGGAGATAACTGATGTCATTATGGCTGTTTACAGTAGTTTGTCTGATAGGTTCTATCATGTATGAACAAGACGTTTTCTATTCAAGTATGCATTGATTTTTAATGATGGTGACTATGTGTACAGATACCAAAGAGGGAGTCGATCTCTGGCTGAAAACCTGCAGCCTGCCTCAGCTCCTGCTGGCATAGCATCAAAGACGACAGTAAGCAAGGAGGATGATTATGATGATGAGAACTATGACATTCCAGAGGAGACTGAAGATGTAATAGGTGAGTGACCTTTCTTAAAATAGTGAAATATTTTAATGTGCGATGTCTTTCAAATTTGACACTACGAGCACGATTGTGAGAAATATGATGGACCAGTAATTGTGCGTATACATATATAAAGTAGTTCAATTAAAACGAAAACATAAGTAAACACAATTTTACCATATTTCAGGACATGATTGTGAATAATATAATATAAACATAATTTTCAACCTAAAAGCAAGGTTACATTTTGCTTAACATTCAGGTATGAATTGAAACGTAGAGCAGATACAGTTATCAGTTAACTATTTCCTGTATTAGGTTATAGCCAAGCAAGAGCTTGCAAGAAATCCAAGAGATATGTATGTATATATATCCATGTATATGTACACTTTAATGTCCTTTCAGTTTGTGCTACTTATAAGTTTTTTTTATAACATTTAATTTAATAGAACAAGTTGAATTATGACATTTTAATTGAAGGAAGTTCCTAAACATGTATCAATCAATTATTCATAGTATTGTATTAACATATCTGGTATTGGCACTCTTATAGATCAAAGCAGATATTTGCTATTTGTTCCTTCTCTGTACTCTGTTGAATGAATGTTCTGCTTTGTGAGACATGCATCATTATTTAAGTGGGGAAACCACCATTGTACATGTAATCTTCATTTGCCAGATTGGTCAAATCTCAGGTTTAGAGTCAGGGACCTTTCACTATTAACTAAAAACCAGTGGTTACTATGTGTACATGATTCTTGTAGTGAGAGTAAACAACAAAGCAAGATATTCCCATTTCCTGGTGTTATGTAGTGTTTTCTTGTAATTTTCCTGTATCTGTGCCTTAGTCTATCCTTATCCCCTGTTTTTGTTGTTTTTCTTCTCTCAGAACAACTTCTGACCGGATTGAAGGATAAAGATACGATTGTCAGGTGGTCTGCCGCTAAAGGGTATGAATCTGCTTCTATTTATCAGTTGATTTTACTTTCATTTAGAAATTCTTGAGAATGTAGTTTTGATAACATGGAGAGCATTAGAGCAAATATTTTAATGGAAATTTTTCTTTCATTTATAAAGAAGGCACTGTTTAATGATGAATTATAGATTTAGATATTCATCCTGTTTGGTTGAAACTATTAATTAGCAATCTTCAAATGAATCTGTAGCCATTTTGTTGCATCTGCTTTTAACTCTCTTCAAACAAACTATATGAAGTGGTCATGCCTTGTCAGTCAAGGATTCAATTGTTCATAGACGAAGTTCTTGTATAGGTTCATTGTCTATAACTCTGTGTGTGATTCTTTGTCTTTCAGGATTGGTCGTCTTACAGGGAGACTGCCCCAAGAGCTAGCAGATCAGGTCGTAGGATCAGCTTTAGAGTTAATCAGGTATGTCCACATAGATGCCACTTTTTCTTTTAGGGTTACCACATGGAAAAAACCCGGAAAGTCATGGAAAACCTGGAAAGTCGTTGAAAATAAATTATTCTAGAAAGTCATGTATAATGAAGGAAAACGAAGAGTTCTCTTAGAGTCATGACAAGTCATGGATATTGATCATGGGTGTGGGCCGTGTGTGGCTATGGTAGCCTTCCATGAAATAATACATACCCCTACTATTCCTTTGACAGTTGGATGGTGCAACCCAAACCAAAATGATACTTATCTGGTTATGGAAAAAACCAAAAATGTGTCATGGAAAGTCATAAAAAGTCAAATTTCTGTGGAATCCCTGTTTTTTTCTTAAACTCTGCTCACTCAAGTGGCCATAAGGGCTAGAGTGTTTCCTTCTATATGATGTATCCCTTTTACAAACTTTCAACAATTTAAAACTTTGGTCATTGATCCATGATTTCATGCAATATTTGTAAACTACAGTCAAAGTATTAGAAAACTGTCAAAACCTAATGACATCTTTTGGTTGTATGAAGTCCAATTAAGAATTAAAGATAGAAGAGATATTTACTACTCCTGTTTTCTAAAACTATGTTTCTATCACAATGCTATAACATCAATTTCAACAGTTATGTTTTTTGTTAGTTCTGGACATGACTTTTTATGCCGCTATTTTTGCAAAGCAGCTGTAAAACTGATACCTGCAAAAGGGATATACTTCATATTGTAAATAGACATTTGAAAGTATATCATAAATTAATATCTTGTTTACATTTTGTGTGTGCATCCTAATGTAAACCACCTAACAAAGAAACACATTTCAATTTCAGTATGAGAGAGTCTGATGGAGCATGGCATGGTAGCTGTTTAGCCTTGGCTGAGCTCGGCAGGAGAGGGCTCCTTCTACCAGCTAGATTACCAGAAGGTAAGCAGGTTTTGATTATACCCTCTGCATACAGTATTATCTCGGGTGAAATGCCATTTGGTCTATAACCAGTTTGTCTACTGCCCAACTAGTCCACTCCTGTCTGGTCTACACCTAGTTCGTCTACTTTCCTCATGGACTAATAATCATTTTGTCTACTTGTCATTTGGTCTAATGACCATTTAAGCTAATAGCCATTTGGTCTATTATTCATTAAGTCTAATAACCAGTTAGTCTAATTCCCAGTTTGTATAAATCAAATAGATGATAATGTGGTGTTATTCTCCCAGGGTAGCCTAATCAGTATTAATTATCATACCCCAGGATTACCAGGTACCTCATTAATATGCCTGGGTTGAGAGGGACAAATGGGGGTCGACCACCTTGCCCAAAGACGTAAGCACCAAGCAAGGTTTGAACCCAGGACCTTTCATATGAGAGTCAAGACCCTTCATCAATATCCTAAAGATAGCAAAGAGGAATTAACTGGGGTTTATTCTCAGAACAGGAATGGTCAGAAATAGATTTACAAGATAGAGAGATATCTCCTTGACCTCAACATTGAATCAACATCCTTCTGTTTCTCAGCTGACACTGTCCTCGGGGGCGTTTCAGAAAACTTGTCATCAGTGACAAATGACAGTTTTTGTTATAAGCTACTGAAATCCTTGCTTCTGATTGGTTATCAGCAGACTTTTCACTAATTTTTGTCATTTGTCATTGAAAAAAAGCTTTGTGAAATCCCCCCCCCTGCAGACTTAGCATACTCCCTATCGTTATTTTCATCAAGTTCCCTTTGCTCTCTCTCTCTTTCTCTGCCATCCTTCAGTCATCCCTGTTGTAAGGAAAGCTCTCGCCTATGATGTCAAGAAAGGGTCTTTCAGTGTAGGTAAGTTGGTGCTATAGATATACACACGTGCTTACAGGAAATATGGATGTTTATACCATGTTACTTTTTAAACAGATTGGATTTTGTGACATTTCATGTTGTCATAAAACACATAGTATTGTAAACGCAGATATATTTATATATTTGGATTGGCTTGAGGGTAAAGTATAATGAGTGAGCTTTGAGCATATTTATGTAGTCCATATTCAAGTGCAGTATTGTAAAAGGAAACAAATGTACTTTTTGCACACAAATGAAAAGCCATGTCCTTCATATTTTGTACTCATAGTCCTCTGTTTGTTTTTAATTTTGATCCAAAGTTGAAGGAGGGGGGTACATATACATGTATATGCTTTAAAAAAAAGCAAATGAGGATATTTGGTAGCTTTTGTGATAATTTGAATTGCTTGTGTGTGTGTCTCCCTCTCTAAATAGGTGCCCATGTAAGGGATTCAGCTTGCTATGTCTGCTGGTCCTTTGCTATGGCATATGACCCTGACGTCATCACACCATACGTCAATAAGATTGCTGCAGCTCTTTCTAGTTTAACTCCTTTGTCTCCTTCTCTCTATGTCTTGCTAGGTGCCCATGTAAGGGATTCAGCTTGCTATGTCTGCTGGTCCTTTGCTAGGGCCTATGACCCTGACGTCATCACACCATACGTGAATGAGATTGCTGCTGCTTTGCTCATCACAACTGTCTTTGATCGAGAAGTCAACTGCCGGAGAGCAGCATCAGTAAGGAAGAAACAAAATCATTAAAAAAAGGATTCTTGCATGCCAAAACATACTGATCATGATCTATTTTTATGTTTATTATGAGGGGAATGGTTCCTTTGAAGAGAAAAACAAATTCATAACATTTGTTTACATTTATCTGCAGAAAACTATTGGCCAGTGTTTCTTGATAACATGGTAGTCACAAAATGATTTGCAAATTTCAGATTTCTTTATCTAATGATTGTAAAAATTTCATCTGATTATTTGCCAAATCTATTCCAAACTTCAATTCATCTGTTTCTGATATTTCTGCTTTTCTAGACCAAAAGAAACTTTTACAAAGGTATACTTTTCTTTTATAAACATGTTGAAAAATGTATGAACTAGTTATAAAATGTATGAACTAGTTATAATATGTATGAACTAGTTATGCAATGTATGAACTAGTTATGAAATATATGAACTAGTTATAACGTGAATGAACTAGTTAAAAAAATGTATGAACTAGTTATAAAATGTGTGAACTAGTTATAAAATGTATGAACTAGTTATAAAATCTTTTCTTCCAATAGGCTGCATTCCAGGAGAATGTGGGACGGCAAGGAACGTTTCCTCATGGTATCGACATTGTCACAACAGCAGACTACTTTGCAGTTGGAAACCGCACCAATACATACCTCAATATCAGGTATGATAATGACAGCAATAACATCAAGAACACTTTCAAGCAACTTGAAAAAATACAAAAAGAAGCTGTTTAGCATTTATTTAAGGATGCCAGTTTTCAGGCAATAGCCTGAATTCAGGCACTGGCAAGTTATTTTCAGACCATAGTTTAGGCTTTTTTTTGTACAAAATAGCTCACTCTAGGTTATTTTCAGGCCCCCTGATCGATTCTAACTGGCTTCCCTGTTTATTTCATGAATTTGTGTAAAAACATACTTATTATTTTATGGAAGCCCTTTCAGAATTTACTCTGGTAAATGAGATTTTCCTGCGATGAAGTCTCTTTTATTTCCATTTTTTTGTTTTGTTTCTAAATCAGAACTCTTAAAAAAGTTTTTCAGACCTCTTTTAAAGATTTCCAAAGCAACACCACTCATCACTTCTATAAATCTTGTTTTTTCTTCAATGTTAAAAAACGAGTGGTTGATTTGGGCCTAAATCTATTTTAATGAGTTGCTAATTTTTTTTTTTTCCTTCTTTTCCTCTTACAGTTCATATTTAGCAGATTTTGAGGAATACACCTTGCCTCTTATTGATCATCTGTACAAAGTCAAGGTCGGACATTGGGACGGGTAAGTTCACAGTTTATTTGAATATTGGCTAGAAGAATTAAATCATAGAGATAATTAAGTATCGTAAAGCCGAATCCCCCTAAGACAAACTGGAAATATTTTGGGATTGGTCAAACATCGGGATATGTACGTATTTAATCCTTTTGAATACATTCATAGAGAAGATTGAGTGTCATAAAGTTCAAAGTTTATTCACTCAATAATAACAAATATGGACATTTTCATCATTCAAGTATACAGTGAACTCAAACAAAAATATTCAATACAAAACAAATTACTCACAATGTATAAAGTATATAAACACAGAGTAGAAAATAAAATACAAGATAGAGAGCAAGTCGAGTGAGGACCGGCGTTAAAGATATTTTCTTTCTTATAAGATGGGCCTTAGATTCAAGCAAATCTTTTATAAAAGATACTACCCATTACCCACTAGAAACAGATTGTTCCAGTATTAAGGATCATGCATTGAGAGAAGTCAGAAGTCCAAGGATTAAACATTTTTACATGGTTATGATTAATGAATCATTCATATGAGCAGTATTCCCCATTCTCACAGCTCCTCTGAATAGAATGTCAGCTATCAGTGCTCTAAATTGCTAATAGAGGGCTTTCGCACACAGGATGGAAGGCAAAGACGATGGTTACGCGAGCGAAAAAACAATCTACGCATGTGCGAACCAGAGTTTTCTCTGTCTTGTTGATTTATACGACCGTACGTGGCCATTATAGCGTTTGTTCCCGAAACACGACGGAAGAGGTGTATCCCCGTAATTTTCCTGTCGTCTTTGCTTCTGTCGTGTTTGCGAAAGCGCTCTATTGTTGCCTGGAGGGATTCCTAATTTGTGTTTTGAAAGGTTGGCAGGTATGGTTGATATCACATTATGCACATTTTCATTTGTCACAACACAGTGCAATACGTGAACTGACCTCACAAGCATTACATGAACTTACCAAGAAGGCACCTGAGTACATGGCAAAAACAGGTGAGTGTCAAAGCAAAACAGTCCTTGTAGTAGGAAAGTTAAGAGTGGCTGCTTTCAACAATGAACGTAAAGTAGTTGAAATATTTTTTGAACAGCTGATGTTGAAGTTAAATTGTTTAGATAGTTTAGAAATGCATCATTTTCTTCAAATCCTTGACATGATGTCAGTTTCTCTTTCCATTTTTACTTTCCAAATGAAATACAATAAACATGTACCTTCTTCCTTTTTTAGTTACAAGCTTGTTAATTTGATTACTCATTATTCCTAAGTATCATTTGAGGGGTCTACAGTTGTACAAGCATTGCTTTTTAGTGGACCCCTCCGTTTCCAGAATGTATTCCTAAATTGTTGTAAATGTTTTAATTGATTTTTAATGTTTTGTTTGAAACATAAATAAATTGAATTTAAATTGAATTGAATTGCATTAAATTCATTAAAAAAGACCCCCAAATCTCCTTCATGAAAAGGCCTCATCAATGTAACATATTGTTTCATTTTACATGTCATTCACTTTTAATTTAAGATCTTGCTGATTATCATGCAAAAACAAAATTTATTGGGGTATTTCAAAATTGAGCTTGTCCATTCAAGCACTGGTAATAAAGACACTTTACCTTCTCTTAATGACAGTATTGCCTGACTTGATACCCAAGGCTACTGGCATTGATCTCAACACCAGACACGGTTCACTTCTCGCTGTAGCTGAAGTGACACACGCTCTCTACGAATACGCTGAAACGGAGTCAAGGTGAGAAAAGGCCTTTAGTTATCAGGATTTCATATTTTAATTCTGAACTGGGACATTGGCTGCTAGATGGGAGATGGAATATTGCAGTATCAGATGTTAGCAACAGCAACACCAACTATAATGTACACTGTATGTTTGATGAAAAAATTGAAATGCAATAAGGTTGGGACAAATGATGTACACATAGTCACCTTACCTTGAAAACTTATATATGTTAGAACTGTTTATACAAAATATTCTAGATATCTATAAACTGTCCTATCAAACACTATTTTTTTCCCTAATGTTTTCTATTTTCTCTTTCTTTAATTCAGGTCTTTGGTGGATATCATAGGTTCTTCAAGTGTGGAAGGATTAAAAGCAATCACAAAAAAGGTAACTTATCATTTCCCCTGGTTTTCATTTTTCTGAGGTACTCTATTTTTACTTTCATTTATATTTGTGATTATTGCGAGGGAGCCCTTTTCAGTTTCAACTGTGAATGTTGTCCTTGTAATTGCTCAAGCTTTTGTTGTTTCCATATGTACACCCAGAGAAGTTACTACCCTGAGAATACACACTGGCGTAGGAAAGTAAGAAGACAAACATGAAATGGTTATTGGGTTCAGACAACAAAGTTCATGTGCAGCTTTGGTTTGTGAAGCAGGTATAGATGTAAAAGGGATTGTGATAATTCCTTGAAATTAATGCTGATGCAAATCTTAGTTAGATTGAACAGTGCACTTAAACTGTAGACAAGCATTTCCCCCTTTAGGTATTGAGGTGCCCTCTGGAAAGTACATTTATTCAAGTCCATATTTCTCCTTGTGTTTTCGTTGATATAGATGGAGGAAGGAAGGATGTTCAGAGGTATGACGGGTGAAATCCTGCGTCCAGCTGTCTGCACCCTCATCGGCAAACTCTCCCTGTCAAAGTTACCTTTCCATGGGGATGCCATTATCGGTAAGTTTCACTCAAAGGGACTTTCCCCAATAAACATTTCACTCATGTGTGCTTTGTATTATCTATAATAGTGGTAGACAGCTCCCTGTCCACTTGGCGTTCCCCTAGATTTATCAACCAATAATATTCTTTGATAAGTTGATGACTTGGGCGAAATTTGCTGAGTGTTGATGCTTTCATTTTTATACTTCAACTATTTATGCTTACTGACTCATTAAAAAGGAAAAAAAAGAAACAAACAACTCTCAAATTGTGGTAATTTGTATAAAACTTGAAAGTACCCAGATATTGTGATTGGATCACTTTTTAAATCTAGAGCAGTGGCAAACATTATTTATTGTTATTATTGTCAGATCACCAAAGACTGAGAGGTATTCATATCTGGAGCAGCAAATGCTTCAGGTCCCCATTATTTGTACAGTTAGTGAATTTTAATCACGTATTATAGAAGGGTCAAACAAATTTGAAGTTATCCCCTGGTATTTTCTTTTTGATTGTTTGTTGAATCCAGACCAGTGGCAGACGTTGCTAGATGACAACATTGTGAGGTTACAGAGAACCGAGAGAGATATCCACAGTAAATCAGTAGCAGCAGAGAGGATGCTATGTCAGGAGTACTATCAGGATTCCAATGGCCAGGCAATGCCTGGTATCCAAGGTAACATCACCCCCTAGTTGTAATATGACTGTTCATTAGTTGTGTAGTGCAGTTCCAGCAATGGAGGGGGGGGGGGGGGGGGGGGGGAGAAGGGGGGGGGGGCTTGCTTTACTAGATGAATGATGTAAGAAGGATGTAAGATTATGAAAATTGTGTCATCTTCGTACATTCCCTATTTCGATCTTCAATTATTTTTTTCTTCTTTTTTCTTCTTCATTTTTGTACTATTCAGTGATGCACTGTCCTCGTACTCCAAACAGTGGTTAGTTGAGTAGCAAAATTAAGGGGAAATCTGTAATTTCCATCTCCATCTTTCTTGCTCTTCTCAAAACATTGATGTATAAACAATGCAGACAACTGACACAATCTACCTCTCGTAGCAATATTTAGATTGCGGTATTAGATACATTGCCTTTATTATGGTCATCACGATCTTCATTATCGCCATCATTGTTCATTGTTGTCAGTTGCATTTTCACTGTCCCATTCCTTGTCATTTGTTGCAATGCATAGTATCAGCTTAGCGAATTTCAGAATGTACATCCTGTCTTTTGAGGGGAATGGCCCAAATGTGGAACCGCTATAAAATGTGTCTTGAAAGTTCTCTGTTTTATTTTATGACAGATAAAGTAATAGACCTGTACATCAAAGGTTTGGAAGACCCTAATGAGATGGGTAGGATGGGAGCAGCCTTGGTCCTTGGTGAACTCCCCAGGTTTATGGTCAGAGGAAAGCTGCATCAGGTAATAATTATAGAAGAAATCTTAAAACGTCATTAATTATTCCTTAATACATTGTCAGTGTCTAGTATATCATCATACATATATATGCACTACTTTACTTTATAGTAAATAACTACACCCCTCAAAAAAACTGTAGTTGTTAAAACCTATATTAAAAGTATTCAAACCTCAACCATCAAAGGAACGTCTCATGAGGTTGAGCCAAGTGTTGACCATGACCTTGTATTGTCATTCACCAAGTGTTTAGATCATTGAAGGTGTCATCAAGTGTTGATCATGTCCTTGTATTGTCATTCACCATGTGTTTAGATCCTTGAAGGTCTCATCAAGAGTTGACCATGTCCTTGTATTGTCATTCACCATGTCTTTAGATCCTTGAAGGTCTTATCAAAGCCAGTATCTCAACCAAAGATGTGGATGCCATCCATGCAGAGTCCAGGAGAGATGCCATCCGTTCCATTGCCAGGTAAGCTCCTTGGAGATAATTCCTTTTCCATCACCTTGGGAGTGCTCAAAGCGCTTACAAAGTAGTATTATTACCCTTACTTTAGCCTAGCTGCCCTAAGGCGCCAAAAGCATTCAATGAGTAAATCCCTACCGGGTACCCATTAAATACACTTGGATGGAGAGTGGCAAAAGTAGATTAAGGTCTTGCAAAAGGACATGAGGGACCAACAGGCACCGATTGGGGAATTTTCTATATAGAGGGAGCAAGTAGCTACCAGTAGGACAGTGTGGCTTTAAAGACTTTCACCTGATTAAAATAGATCGCAACTTGATATTCATTTCAACTGTTTCATGAAGAGATAAGGGATCGTAAATTTGCGATTGATTAGAGGACATGCAATCAGTTCAGGGCCCTGTTTCATAAAACTTTTGATCACTACCAACTGGCACACATCTATGACAAATCTGCTCATAACCAATCAAATGTAAGGATTTCAGTAGCTTATAACAATTATCGTATCTTGTTATTGATAAGTTGTTATATGAAACGGGGCCCAGATCATCAAAAGCAACTACTATCTTTTATAAGACAGTGCCCATGAGTAAAACATAAATAAATATGGTTTTGTGACAATATAGACAACATTTAAACTTCTTTTTCCTCTTTATAGTACCTCCAATGATCTTCTCTTTTTCATAGGTTATTCAAAACAGTTGACATCAATCCAGCTGGAAATCCCCATGAAGAAATGTGTGAGTCCAACCTTCCATCCATATACAACTGTTTGCTGCAATCATTGACGGACTATACCACTGACAGCAGGGGTGATGTGGGTGCATGGTAAGTGCGGTAGTTGTCTGTAGTTTTAGATAAAGAACTGTCATGTCCATGTACATGTACAGTTTGGTTGAACAAGAACTAGTATATGTACTGAAGATGAATGATAGCTATTATGTCTTTTGAAAGCTAGAAAGCTAGTATCAACTCCTAGTTTATGAAAAGGTTAATGCTTGCGTGTCTTTCACCAGACAGTTTTATTACAATGAAAAAATGAATAGATATTGCACAACTTGCTTTATATTTGAGTGTAATTGTAATTGTAATAATTGTAATTTTTTTTTAAATCCAAGCTCTACAAATTTTATGTTCTGGTGGTATTTCCTTCTATTAGAGACAATTTTGTGTCCATTTGCAGTTTGAATATTTTTCATGTTTTTATAATACCTGTGCAGTAGACAATTGCGATTGATCTATACGGCCTTGCTCGAAATGATGATATGTCGCTTCGTAGAGTGATATGATTACGGATGCAGTGAATTAAATTGCAGTACAAAAAATGAGAGTGTGCTAGTTTCTCCTTTGATCTTCACCAGGGTCCGTGAAGCAGGCATGAAGAGTCTTTATGATGTCACCAGTCTTCTGAATAAGAATCAACCAACCATGCTCACACCAGACATGTAAGTCTTCACAATTGGAGAAATGTTTGAAGTGTGAACCCTCCCCTTCACTCAAATTGAGAAGCACATGTAGCATATCTCTTTTGTGGGTTGGTCATAAATGCCCCTTCCATAGCTTTTGAAGTTTTCTTCAGCCTTGCAGTGTATGTACATGTAAATGATACCAATTTCTAGACCTGTAAATATTTTTATAAATTATGATTACTCCAGTATAAAAAGAAAACAATGATTTCTTTGAAGATTTTGGGGAGTAAGATAGAAAATTTGTTAAACTGTAGTGAAGCTTAAGTATCATGCCAGAGAAAGAGTATTAATTGACCCTATCAGCCACCAGATTGTTCATTTTTATGACAGAAAATTTCTATAAAAAATCTTGAGAAGTTTTATATTCTCTTTTGCCTCCCCTTTGGCCTTCTCTCTCTCTCTCTCTGTCGCTCGATCTCCCCATCTATCTTACTCATTCTTTCTATCTCTCACTCTATCTCTTCTTGGACCAGAATCTGTAAGGTAGTCCAGTGCCTGGCCCAGCAAGCCTCAGAGAAGATTGACAGGACCAGGCTCTGTGCTGGGGAAGCTTTCCTAGGTCTACTCCACCAGTCTGACCCTGTCATTCCACACATTCCAGATAGGGAGGAGCTTATCAAGGTCTTCCCAAAGTAAGTTTTAATCCCTATTTTCTTTGATTTTAAATTGATAGATACATTGTAGCTGTGAAGCTTCTTTTTCTCCTCGCATGGAATGTAAATCACATTAGAAGTAAGCCCGGCCCACCCTCCCACTCTGAGGTCAGAGGGATCGCATGCGTGTTCCCAAAATCTCTGGTAAAGGGGTACTTTTTTTGTGCGTCAATCTCTGGCCCGTATTGACTTTCACATCGGAGATAGGGGGTGCGTTCAAAGGGAGGAAAAAAACATACGCGTACCCTAAATAACACTGAGGGGGGGGGGGGGGGGGGAGGGGGTGGGGCTGGCGAGGTAAGACTATCTATATGACTGATGTGGCTTATAAATTTCAATGACATAATACTCAAGTTCTACATGGACATGTACATCGATGTTGGATGGTAACTCTCTTTGCCGCTCTCTCTCTCTGATAGAACTGCAGTAATAAGCTGTTGTATGAATTTTTGTTCACACCTGTGTTTGTACCTCTCATCGTATGTACATGTATACTTTAGCAGGTTCAGATTTTAAAATTTCTGCAAAAAATTGCTGGGTTTTAAAAATAAATACCAGAAGTGAAGATTGCTTTATTTTGAGAAGTGCCATGGACTCTTCAGTCTACCTTTCATGGCACCTCTGATCAGGCGACTAGGTTTTGGCACTCACATATTCTGAGATGGGGTTTGATTGAATCATGAGCATCGAAAGGTTGTTGTTTGTGCAGGCTCAATATTGGCTAGTCTGTCAACTATTGTACTCTTGGGAAGAGTAAGGGGTAAATGCCAGATGTGTTTCCGCTGCTCTTTAAAAAAAAAAAAAATCATTTACAGTCGCACATGATCACATGACAATGCATCATGTCGATTAGTACCATGTGCCTGTGTGTGTGTTTACAAACGTGTATCAATCAGATATGATTATTTGCGTCTGGGGACCGACCTTTAAGGTCACCATCCGAAAGGTGTGCAAATATGCCCTTTCCTATGCACTGTACACTGGCGTACTGATGGGTTGGGGTGAGGGCAGTTATCCCCCAAATAAAAACATGGTTTATTTCTAATTCGATATCAGTGATTTAATAATGTTGCTGAAATGAAATCTGGAGTTTTTTCTCGCTTTTTTGTAAATTATACTTTTTTTTCTTTGTGTTCCCCCAATTTTTTTTGGCTCATTATGCCACTGCCTGCACATGATCATGTGACAATGCATCATGTCAAACAGTACCATGTGTAAATACACCTTTTCCTTTTTAGGCAATGCTGATGCAAGATGAAAGGCTCATTAGACCAAATGGCATGTACAAGTTCCAATGATGATGTTAAGATCTTTGAAGGATTAACAAACTTTAATAGCTCAAGAACACTTGAATGAATTAATCCCCTATGACTTGAATGGGAGCGGGAAAATCATCGTAACAGATGACTAGATGTCTAGTTTATCTAATGATGTTTTGTCATGATGTATTGTTTCTCAATGTATTCTGTAAGGGTCTCCAAATTATTCTTCCAGAAATATTATGCCTTTCCAGCACCACCCGCCCCCATCTCCCTCCCTCTTTCTATTTTTCTTTGTCTCTCTCTCTCTCTCTCTCTCTCAATATCTTCTCTTATTAAGAGTTGATTGATAAACTTGTGCATCATTCATTGTTATGTTGTTTGAATGTCTGTCCTGTCGTTCTTATTCTATGCAACGGTGCTGAATACTCGAGGCCAACAGTGCTGGAATATAACCTTTCAGCTCCTTCCAAATGCAAAGAGAAACAAATCCAGAGTCCACGATTTATGCCAGTCAAAACAAGTAAACAACTCCATCTTGCTTAGTTACAACAGGTATCAATGAGATCAAAGGGTGCTTTGTCTCATACTCTCTACCAATCAGAAACCCATGAATTTGACACACCCATGTCTTTCCCCCACTTAATATGTAAACGATATTCAGTTACTACGCGGTCCAGAGAGAAAGTTAGCCAATCACAATGCTTTATTTTTTATTGGCGACAAGCTGTACACGGATAATGTGTGCATGCATCATTATTCTTTTTCAAAGGTCAAGTGTTGTTAATATGAACGAAGTAAAGCCACTGAGCACGCAAAACAAACGTTCGTCTGAGTTGACTTCATCATGAATGTCATGTGATGAGTTTGTTGCATGAGGCATTTTTGAAAGATTAGAATTACTGTACATGTATAAATGATGAGAGAGGTAGAGAAAAGTATTAAAGTTAGATGCAAAATGAATTTGCTTGCCAGTTCAATGAATGTGCTCGTGTTGAGGCATAATGAAATGATAAAGGAGTGAGGGAGATTGAATAGAAGAATTATTAGAAATCTCCTGGAGGAGAAGAATAAAGTAAAGGCATCAAAAAACTTATCATACACAATGCAATGTTCTCTTTAAAAAAAAAATCTTCACTCTCCACTCCAAAAATAACTTACTATATGTTTTCACTGATGTTTTCCTGTGGTTCTTCAGCTTTCACTCAGAGCAAGCTTTCACTCAGGGTCAAGTCCCTTTCAAGATTGATACAGATTAGACTTAATTTTTAAACGTATGTGTGAAGAAAATACATGCGACATTGAATAAGTTTTAAAATATTATGATTTTATTTAAATGCATTTAAACAAGTGTACAGACGAAAGAAATATATCCATGTATAAAATGTAATTTATTTCATTTCATTTCATTAATTCATTTCCACTTCAAGATAAAAAACAATATTATATAGTATTAACCGTATCAGACATCTGAGCAGGGCAATTTTCAAATGTTATTGCCCTCAAAGTGTAATTGATAAGCCAACAAAACTATGGGTGAAAAAAATATTGACCGTTCAGCACAGACAATGGGAATTTGTGTGAAATTTGCCGGTCAATAATAATACACAGTTAACCAATGAACAAACATTGCCCGACCAGATAAGTCAATGGCAAAATGCGTGTTAAACTAACAGGCAATAATGTAGAGCCAATATCCGGGTAATTTTGCGTATGAAAACCTGCAGACTTTGCGCGCACTCTATTGTGATGTAATAATCACACCCAAGGCACACTGTTTGCAGTGTATCGACAATTATGTCAAGCACTGGATGCACAGTGCTGGTTTGACGATGATTTTGCATTTTTTAATGCGAGGAAACCTTGTGCAGTGTAGTGTCAATATTACTAAAATATTCAAAATACAGACACATTGTAATGAAATATCTGAAGTGGGAGGATCACGAAAAGCACATAAATGGCTCGTTAAAAATGATCCTCATAAAAGTATTAGTTATATCCTACAAAATGCAAATCATAATGTGAAGTGTTCTCAAGTCATACAAAGTCTCATCCAATTGACGAAGTTGCTTTTTAACAAAACAAATCCAAAGCTCTTCTTTTCATATTATTATACAAAATCACTGAGAAAGTACATTTTATGTTTATATTATCACCAGATATAAAACGACTGCCCCCCAAAAAATATATCTTACAAAATTTTTAAGTTGAGTCTTGCAAAGTCTCGTCCAAGTGACGAACTTGCTTTTTACAAAACAATGTCTAAGGTAGACTAGATCCAAACCTCTTCTTTTCATAATATAAAAAATCACAGAGAAAGTCAATTTTATTTTCATATTATCACAAGACATGAAACCAATGCCTTATAAAAACTATATCAGAGGCATTCCGATAGTTGAAGATGAAAGAATGAGCTTAAGGGGGAAAATTATTTTATTTGCACTTTGCAGGCTCATACGGAAGTTGAATATGAACTCAATCTTAATTTGCCAATGCTTGTAGGTGTATGTCAACAAGTCTTCTAATGGGTGTTTACATTTCTTTAGGATATTATGAAACTGGCAATATATCTACAGAAGTAATGTATGAATAAAATATTTCAAATATGCTCTACTGGCATGGAATCTCAAAACTTACAGAGCAAATAATTTTTGTTGTTTGGTCCCCTTTAACACATGCAAACAAAAATTAGCAAGATATTATGAAACTGGCAATATATCTACAGAAGTAATGTATGAATAAAATATTTCAAATATGCTCTACTGGCATGGAATCTCAAAACGTACAGAGCAAATAATTTTTGTTGTTTGGTCCCCTTTAACACATGCAAACCAAAAATAGCAAGATATTATGAAACTGGCAATATATCTACAGAAGTAATGTATGAATAAAATATTTCAAATATGCTCTACTGGCATGGAATCTCAAAACTTACAGAGCAAATAATTTTTGTTGTTTGGTCCCCTTTAACACATGCAAACAAAAATTAGCAAGATATTATGAAACTGGCAATATATCTACAGAAGTAATGTATGAATAAAATATTTCAAATATGCTCTACTGGCATGGAATCTCAAAACTTACAGAGCAAATCATTTTTGTTGTTTGGTCCCCTTTAACACATGCAAACAAAAATTAGCAAGATATTATGAAACTGGCAATATATCTACAGAAGTAATGTATGAATAAAATATTTCAAATATGCTCTACTGGCATGGAATTTCAAAACTTACAGAGCAAATCATTTTTGTTGTTTGGTCCCCTTTAACACATGCAAACAAAAATTAGCAAGATATTATGAAACTGGCAATATATCTACAGAAGTAATGTATGAATAAAATATTTCAAATATGCTCTACTGGCATGGAATCTCAAAACGTACAGAGCAAATAATTTTTGTTTGGTCCCCTTTAACACATGCAAACAAAAAAGATCAAGGCCCCGTCTTATAAAGAGTTGATATCAATTGCAACTACCGTAAATCTCCGTGTATAAGGCGCACCTGTGTATAAGGCGCACCCCTATTTTGGGGAGGGAAAAAAAACGGAGATTTACGGTATGTGCATAAAGGATACGAGACTGCAAACTTGTGGTTGGTGGAGGACTTGAGATTGATTTGGATCAATCGCAACTCTTGATAAGATGGGGCCCAGATAGACAATAACAATGATATACAGCTGCTTAATGCAAAAAGCTTTTTCATAGTGAACTAGGCTACAG